CTTTTCGTGGATTTTTATCAGGACCCCAAAAAGAGTCTCTGGTGGTTAACCAAGTTGCTTGTAATAATTTCTCTTTCAAATGGTTACTCTGTTGGATGGATGCGAGCGATGCTATTCATTCATTTCTTTTTCATTTGTATTTCTTTTTTTTGTACCCCTCTCTCACTCGCTTTTGTATGGCCTACCGGCTCCTCTCTTTGGCCCCCCCCCCCTTCCCCTCAATTGCTCGTCGATGATATCCCGGAGGAGGATGGTGGTGGTAGGTAGATAGGTAGGTAGATAGATAGGACAGCTGATGGTCACTCCTCGTAACCCCGGCTAAGCTTTCCTTGTCTGAATGTGCCTTCTGCTTCTCTTTACCTTTTCCCTGCTCTTTTGTCCCTAACTTACCACTCCTCTCTGTCTGTCAATTTCCCGTCCTTTTTCCTCCTAAGCGGCAGCGGCAGACTCCGCCGAAATTTGTGGCGAAATCAAGGAACAGGAGAAATCGACGACAATTTCAATGATTTTTTTTCTTCTCTTTTTTTTTTTGCTTGTGCTATTCTTCTCTGGTCCGTGATATCTTTCTTACCTTTCTCTATTCTATCAACCCCACCGGTGAATCTGTTGTGGCGTGGAAGCGTTATCCAAAGATACATACAATGTAGATATGAGGTTCAAAATAAACTTAGGGTACGTAGTCTAGTCGAGGATTAATGTTGATAGGGGTTTTAGAGCTTGGATAGTCTACCCGCGATTCGGGACGGACGGTGCGCGTGTCGAGTCCTGGCCGCAGGGAGGCTGTCGTGAACCTAGCGTGCTCTGCGCCCGTGGATACTCACCCAAGATCGTTGGTCAACGTCCGGGCTGCGTGGGTAGGTAATCTATTTAGTGGACAGGCGAAGATGGAGCTAGGAATGGCGTGCCCGAGGAACGGCCTGAACGGTCTAGGTAAAAGCCTCGATGACTAGGGGAAGAGCGGGTGTTAGTTAGTAGCGCAGCCCGGAGGAGGGGGAACGAAGCGAGTACCGCGTGCAGGGGTCCGTAGCAGAGAGGGAGAGAAGAGAGAGAGAGAGAGGCTCGACATTAATGTTACTGTATTTTAACGAGCTTCAGCCAAACACAAGACAGGTCTAGGCGATGGTAGAGGGGAAAGGGGACGAGATTGAGTGGCATGAGGTGATTAACCATAAACCAGAGATATTAATAAAATGAATTCATTCATTAAAACAAAAGAAAAACATTGCACTTAATCGTAGATAATGGTACAGTACTCATAGTACTCTCAATGCTAACAATAGCACTTGATTGACAGTCCAGAAACGGTGCAAAGACGGCGGCGGGTGATGCCGGCGATGGCTCCTCGAATATAAGCAAACTTGGGTTAGAGACCAGATATGGAGAGGGAGGAACGGGGAGGAAAAGTGGGAATGTTGCTTGACCAGTAACCAACACCAACCCCCATTATTTTTATTGTCCAGATGATGAATCCCAAGGTTGCGCCGGTCAGCTGTCGCGGACTTGCGGTACGGCCGACTTCAGGGGGGGAACCAGACCTCCAACCGAAGTATGGCCGTAGCAGTGCCAATGGGAAGCACGTCGTTTGGTGGACCCCCGGTTTCTGATAGTAACCACCTCCTATCGCTTGTCAATTGGACAGTTCTCTGTCGCTCACTCGACGGCCATTGTTGTCTTCCTGTTTGTAGACTAACATCCACCGTGCTGAACTCATACATCGCTTGTAGCAGGCATAAATAGGTGAATTGGGAAGCGGAATTAAGCGGATCAAATCCAATATGATGGATGATAGGCCTTTTTGCCTCGGGTGCAGTGTAACCGGGACAGTCATCCATGAGTTATCTGCTTGCCCGCGCAAGTCAGGAACGCGTCAGTGGGGAACACGAGGCTACCAGCCCAACCGATGTTAGGAATAGTCTCCCGTCGGACAAATTAGGCTCCTTACCAGCAGCCTACAATGGCACAGAGCGCACTAGTGGAATATCACGTATTCATCCTGCGCCAAACAAGCAAGATAGAGTCGGGCATGGATCAATCCAAGAGATTCGAGTCGAGTTCGAGGATTGCAAATTCTATGGGGGAGTAGGAAGGGGAAATGTATGATCCAAGCGACCGGAAGGCAGCCGTGAGAGGGGAAAAGCCAGCAGAAAATTGAATTGATGTTCGACTTCCTTGACGGTGGTTCGTACTTTTGTCTCTATCGCCTATTGGCATAAGAGGGAAGATCCTGTACCGGAGAAGACGCACCCACGCCTTGGTATTCCGCTCAGTAGGTTTGCGCTGTGTGCTCACAAGTCATCGGGGCATGTTGACGCGAGAATATTGACTATGCTGCTGCTCGTAGTCCAACCAGCTAATGGTTGTGCAGTTTGACAGATGATCAATGCTATAACCCATGCGATCGCATCTTCAGTGCGCATCTCGGTTAAGTAAAGTACTGTACAGCACATACACATTTCCCTTGGCTCCTTGGGACACACTGTGTCAGCGGGAGACACCCTTACGGTAGGAGGGAGGCTGGGGAGGGAGGGGAACTAAGCTGGGAAATCCACAGTGGACTCTGGAGTCTGGAGGGTGTATCCTGGGCTTGGCTGTACCTAAGCCATCATCATGAACTTTATCAGGATTTTCATTGGACTAGACTTCAAAGATTTTCATGACGGTGCAGCGAAGAGAAAGAGTGTGTGTGATAAGGTAGGGGACCAAATGGTTCAGCCCATCAGCAGATTACCGGGAGTACTCCGGAACAATCATCCCCCCAGCGAACGATTCTCGACGATTAGGCCTATTGTCAGTGTGGTTCGATTCGTTAATATCCAGAAGCAGGTCGTTCACCACACTGCAGCATCAGAGGTTCAGAACACAGTGAGGGTGGGCTGAAAACCGATTATCTGATAGGAAGGAAGGCCAGGCGCAGGCTGAGAAGCAAAAGGGGACGCAGGAAATGCAAGGCTCCAATCTCGGAAAGCCTCTCCTCCTTAAGCAAGTGATGATTGGCATCTGGTCTGGGTCTTCTCATACATACCCCGCGCAAGCGGGACCTGCTAACTAATCGACTGCCGGTGAAGGTGACAATCGCGGTTCATCAGGAAAAGGAGACTACGTTCCCAACTTGAAGGTGTTCTCTGTAGTTGATTGTCTTCTTGCCTTCGATAATCTGTTCTACATGCTGCAGTAGCCCTTCCATTCTCCTCTCGCCCCTCATGGTAATTTATCAAGTCTTCTATCAATAAGAAACAACCAGACGCGCAAAAAAGTGGAAGAACAGTTGATCAGAGGAGATCATAAAACAAGAAGAGTAGACCATAAGCCCGTAGGTCACAAGGCAATTATCATGCAATATGACTTTGTTTGAAGTGGATCGCGAGTATCAATAATATAACTTGTAACTTAACTTATCAATTTCCAGTGCTCCGCAGGCAATGTAAACCCTCCTCCGTCCAGGACCTCAGGCATACGGGCAGTCAATGGATGTCGAATTACACCCAAAGCTGAGTGACAACCACAGCTCTAATCGATACCATCGGCTATCGAAGCTGCCCCAAACCACAACATCGGACGAAAGAACCTACCTTGGTCAATGCTCTATCTAGCTTGCCGGGCTCCTCAGTAGGCGTTCTTTCGAATGTCCATACATTTCTAACGCTGAGGGCGGAATCAAGCCTCCTATCCCCGGATATTACTCCGTATACATGGGGTAACTTGAATACAGAGTAATGATACCACATAGCTGGTAAGTACTGTACTTACGCGGTAACTGACCCTCGCTATGTAAGGCCTTAGTAAGTATCTTACTGTTTCGGATGCTGGCCGACTACCTTAAACTCAAGCGATGACTGCCCGTCGATCGGGACCTTTCCTAAGAGTGACTAGCCACCATGATTAGTACTGATGATACCTGACCCACAGACGCCCTTGGGGTAGCCCGCCCATAGCCAGACCAACAATTGAACAAGCAACCCTTCCTCATCGGTGGTGAAGCTGTGACCATAGACTAGCAGTAGTGTTCCCGGCACTGCAGTGATGAATGGGATTGTGAGGCTTGGGCCAACACAATGTCCTCCAGCTCAACCATGGGCTGCTTGGACACAATACCTTGATCGCCCTACTGCTCAGAGCAATGTTCTCAACAATGCAACCATAATGAGCAACGTGTGAGCGTATCGCTCTTGTAATGAATTTGCTATAAGTGTGGCTGAAGGCCCACTCTGACAACACATTGGCGAGAGAGCTTTCAGTGGTCGAGAGCGGCTCTCAAATCATCAATCGTTATTGTTCCCCGACGGACATCCATATGTACATGAAAGGGGCAATCTGCCGGTTCTGGCCCATCAATGATGTAGAGCTGCAGTGCAGCATCATTTCATTTCATTTCTTTTTTTTTCTCCTTCTTTTTAACCCACTCCATTGATTGCTTCATTCACCTCTGGCTTGTGATGGCTGTTGCTTGCGTGCTGCATAAACCACTTCCCTTATTCCGCATGGGATGCGCATACTGGCCGGTCTGCCAATGATAAGCGAGGTTGGTCTTTTCTCGCTTTCGGTACGTTCCTGACTCGCGGGGCCGATGGCTAAAGCTCCAGACTCCATACACTACTCCGTAACTTACTGTGCTCTGTGATCAGGCAGCATAACCACGGGCAGAGCTTCAAGCTACCTACCTGCCTCATCGCTCTAAGCCTTAAACGTGATCTGAAGTGCTCCACGTGCGCAGACTCGGAGTCCTGTAGTTGGCTAGTAGTTGACAGCGGTGTCTCACCAGATCAAGCGGCGGCCGCCCTGACACTTCCGAGGCGCGATACTATCCGGAAATGGAAGGTGGATAGCACAGCCTGGAGCTGGAGGAGCTAAAGATCCATTTGATGACATGAGCCCGTGTATACCACGTGACCACGCTTCTCTCCGCGGAGCAGAGCGCACCTGGCACCTGGCAGGGTCAAAATGATACCCATTCAGTATCAGTTAAACCGAACAAAGAGAGCCAGTGACCTAGTGCCCTCTCTCCTCATCTCGTCTCTGCATCCCTGTGCGTAGGTTCTCATATAAAGATCTGCTAACTAGATGCGCCGTTAATTAGTGGGTGTGGAGAAACATACCCCTGGACTGAAAGATGAACATACTACCTACACAGCATGCGTATCAAAGATGAAGGTAGGTTGTTTGGGGCATTGCTCGCCTGCCATCAGCTACCTGTGCTTGCTCAGAACATGGAAGACAGGACCACACAGCTACCATCTACCTTGGTGGACGGTCATGCGATACAATACCGAACCGACATTCGAATTTCAGAAGTGACCAGGGAGGACACTCCAGGATGGAAATGGACATCTTTCAGGTTTCCACACGGCTCTGCGGCTCTGTCTCCGAGCCTCGATGTGGATCGAAGAATGGAGCCATGGATAGGGTTGTTTGGCGCAGGTCGCTATGTTGATACATAAGTCTTGATGCCGGAGGAACGTTCGGAAAACGATTCGGGAATCGCCGCCCCCCATCTCTTGAATCCAGATGTCCCACCCAGAACAGTGGCAGGAAAGACAGCAAGGACGTCCAATGAGAGCATTATCGATTTCCTCTATGGTGAGTTTTTTTGAACCTCGATCCAGTCGGTAGTCACGCTAAGAGCAGCTTAAGATAGCTTGCTGTACAGCGATAGACCCAACCTCGGTTCCACTCTCGCCGCTCTCATGCTGTCTCACTGATGGGTGAGCCACGGAGAGGGTGGGCATGAGCTTGAGTTGGAGATCAAGTTAACAGCATATCGCGCGATCAGCAGCGCAATCAGACGATCCCACTTTGTTCCAACCTGCCGTGAGCATCTGGACTTATGGTAGAAACCAAAGTACAGTACGTACAGTACGTACGTAGTGGTATAGTTACTGACTGGCTCCGGGTCCGGCCCGGTTCTCGGACTGCCAAGCAGATTGTTGTACTCGGTAGGTGTATTCGACCAGACCAACAGCAACAACAATCTTAAGTGGGCCACCACTCGGGCGATCAACAAGTCATGGACGATGGACGTGATGGGAGGCTTTGCATCAGAGTCAATAAAATAATATCATTCTGCGCCAAAAAAAAAAAAAAAAAAAAAAAAACCAAATAAACAGGGTAAGAAGTCTCATCCAGAATAAAAGCACCAATAGGATAAATCAAGACACTTTCCCCAAGGTAAACATTACTTGAGCAAGCAGCAGCAGCAGCAACAGACCATGAACAGACAAAGACCACTGTTCAATTGTCGGGACTTCGCTTGAGCCATTCATTGACATGGTGAATGTCTCAAGATCGATATACCTACTGTCTTCGGCCGGAGATCCCGCCAAGAATTAGCTATTGAATCTGGACGACTCGTGAGGGTTTGTTCTCCTTCTCTATGGGGAGTCGCTATCCCTTTACCAGATTTGGCCCAATGCAGGCCCATCTTCAGCATGCCGTAATACCTCGACGCTTTCTGTCATGAGTAGTCTACAGAGTATAATCTATTTATGAGTATGCTGACGGTTTGATTACTTTTTGCCTCTCTACTTGCGTTGCTTTGCCACTATGGCGAAAGGTTACATGTTCCATGCATATTCTACGCCTGCTCTAAAAGCAGGTCAGGCTGAGAAGCGTGTCGGTCGGTCGGTCGGTCGGTTGGCGAGGCATGGACTAAGGTAGGTAGGTAGTAGGCATGGGCATGGGCATGGGCATTATTGGGGGCTAGCTGACCAGCGTCGGTTCATGCCATCCATTGTTTCTTATTACGTTAGTTCATACACAGTAAGTGGGTGGACTAGTCCTGTAGTGTCTAGGCTTTCCTTAAGCTTGAGCCTTGGAGTCTTTTGCTTTCCATATTATTATTATTATTATTATTAACATTCTTTTGTCGATTTGACACTATCGGCGGATATCCCGACTTCCGCATATTGAACCATCAGGACCGCCTAACAGTACCCGAGCCATAAACACAAGTAACAGCATACATACTTTCTATCTCTTTTTTTTTTTTTTTTTTTTTTTTTTTTTTACCTTCTTCCTCCCCGGTTCCCCTGACGTTTGTGACTTCGGCGTACCTCTAACCTGGTTGGGATAAGCGGGTATTTGCCTAAAGCTGCATTTGCTTCCAGGCCGCTGATTCGCAGTGGATTGGGAAAATGATCCCACTAGTGGTAGGCCTAGCCTAGCGGTATTTGACCGAGACCAAGGAGACCCAGTTTCCGGTACATAGTGATACTTACCGGTATCGTACTGTGGTCGAGATAGTTACAAGTACCCGCAAGAGCTTTGAGGTCCCGCTTACATGAACATACCTCACAAGTAAGTTAGTAACTAACAACTGTACCGTGACTCCGTACTCCGTACCCAACTTTCTTCCTTTGGGGCACACCGAAGGTACATTTCAATCTTCATCCCCTCTCCCATTCCTCCCACCCATGTCGCGGAAGACCTTGGCTTGCAGAAACCTGCATTGCTCGGGTACTTGATATACACTCTTCAGTCTTGCCATGGATGGTAAATGGTGTTAGGGGTCCCTTCCAATATGATTTATGCTGCCTGGAGCACCCCTGATGTTCGAATGACCACACTAAAGAACAACAGCAGCACCACCACCACCACCACCACCACCACCACCATCAAGACAACCACAATCATCAACCCCGAATAAGTTGACATATGGACCTCCTGACTCAGTCCACTCAGCGCAGATGAGGTGGGATTGACTTGACCCACATCTGGGAAAATCCGGAGGATTTGTCACGGTGGATTAATTACGCGATTATCTTACGGTAAGATAATGCCTACCACCCTGGATTCTCGCCCACCACTGCGATAACATGACCCTCTTTCCATTTGATCACGTTTTCCCTTTCATAATGGAAACTAGGTATTCAGCCGGAGTCCACTGTCGTTGTGCTTGGGTTGGAAACAGAAACATCTGTCTTGCTTCAACAGCTGACCATGCTCTCAAGCCAGCGAAACCATTAGGTCTCGGAAATGATACTCCACATCCTCCCCCGGGACCTTCTAAGACAAGCACGGCAATACGGTAGGAGAGCAAACCGGGCTAAAATCCTCGCAATCTCAAATCATGACTGATAGGCACCACCTTCTCCCCCCGCAGTTGAGCCTCTCTCCGACCCCGGACGGGCTTGGCCTCGCTCGCTCGCGGATCGGCAAATCTTGGTCCGGTTAGCATCTGGGGACAAGGCCCTCCTCCATCAACGAGGCAGCTGGCGAATTCTGGATGTCGCCATTTTTGCCGACCTCGGTTAGCAGTTATCAGCTCGCCAAAAAGTGACTCTCTCCTGGTACTCCTGCTGCATCCGAGGACTCCTCTGCTGACTTACGGCGCAACGCTAATTTGCCGGGGGAGAGGTCTCCGTGGGCAAGCGAAGTCGCAGGTTTGTCTGACGAGTTGACTCTGTCAGGCTCGCGAACGTTTACCTGATGGCACGATGCTCTTCCTCCGGGCGGGGGAAAACCAAGTCAAGCTTTGCGTCTGAGATGCAGGTCGGCTTAGCCAGAGTCCACTGGATGCGCTACCGACAAGATTGACAAGTGGAAAATTATTGTCCGTCTAGCTGCAGCTGCATGGCTGCGATTTCTCCGCAATCAGGATCTATATGCGGGGTCGAGTGCGGTGGTTATTATCCAGAGCGCGAGTCCCCTCGCATCTGCAGTGTGTATAAGAAACCGTAGAGACGGCGTTGGGCAGGCCCTGATTATTTTTCCTACAGACAGCCTTTTACCTTGTGCAGGGACTTCCATTCGAGCCATAGCCATGCTCGCTCTCTGGCAGTGCCTAGCCCTCGCGGCCATCCCTACAGCATCAGCATTCCCCTCCGGTTCGTCTCAGAAGGCGTTCGACTGGGACTCGACGAAATACCTGTTGGTGTTTCCCTGGGCAAAATGCATCCACTACTTCTAGCTGATACTCAAATCTCAGAATAGCGTTCGGTGATTCCTATACGTACGTGCAGGGCACTCACGGACACCAAAACTATAGCTTCATTGGGGATCTGCAGAACTTCGCATATGATGCTCAGACCCTGTTAACGGATAAGATCGTTCAGAACCAGGTTTGAAACCATGTTTCTCTGGCGCTTATCCCGCGGCTATGGCCCAGAAGTTCCATCTCAGTCACTGACCGAACGTCCTGGATGAGATGTAGACAGCAACGGCAGAAGGGGGCCCCAACTGGGTTGAATACCTCACCGGGTGCGGGGTAGAAGATGGAATCATCTCACCCTTGGACTGCGAGAGACAACTCTGGGACTTCGCGTTCGCGGGATCTGATATCTCCGTTGCATAGTACGTAACTTCCCTCCTTGTAGACGAAGCATAAGACTTGCGGGGAGCTAACACCCCCATCACCCCGACAGCACCCCCCTCCACCACAACTACACCGTCTCCCTCGTCAACCAGGTCACCCAATTCACGACCTACGGCCAGCCGGTCCTCTCGCGGCACATCTCCGCGCCGCAGACCCTTGTCGCCATCTGGATCGGGATCAACGACATCGGCGACAGCGCCAAATACGCCGTCGATTTCCCGGCCTTCTACGACACCCTCATCACCACCCTCTTCGCCTCCGTCCAGGAGATCTACGCCCAGGGCTATCGCTCCTACCTGTTCGTCAACCTGCCGCCCCTCGACCGCACCCCGGGCAACCAGGCCCTGAGCCAGCCCTACCCGAACGCCACGCAGGTCGCCTGGTACAACGACGCGCTGGCCCGGCACGCCGCCGCCTTCCACCGCAACCACACGGACACGGCCGTGCACCTGTTCGACGCGCACCGGACGCTCAGCGAGGTCATGGACCACCCCGCGGCGTACGGCATCGTCAACACCACCAACTTCTGCCCCGGGTACGACCAGCCCGATATCGCGTGGAACTACCGGGCGTACGGGTGTCCGACCCCGCTGGAGGAGTACTTCTGGTTCAACTCGGGGCATCTGACGAGCCATGTGCATCAGATTCTTGCGGGTGTGTTGGAGGGGGAGCTGAGAGAGTGGTCGAAGTGAGGGTGGTCTGTCGTTGATTGGAGGCGTGGTGGGGGGAACTCATTGATGATCCAGTGGGAATACGTCAGCTCCAAACTATGCTTTGTACGCTTAAGTTTAGACTGACCCAGGTAAGACTCCGTAGCATGATTCATCACAACAATCCCGGACCTGCATGCATTTAAGTTGGGTGTATACCACTGGTATCTGCTTGTTACTCCTCGTATATGTCAATCATATGAGAAGTCAAATATGCCATCGCGTGAATATACTCACCTCCCAGGTTTTCACCGCATGTTGGGCATACATGCCTAAACGGTAAATCTCGAGGGTTTTTTCGCCTTTTACTCTGTGATGTGTGATACCCCCGCGGGGATCTACGGAAGTATATAAGTATACGAAGACCCTGCAGACCAGCCAGAGAACAACAACCCACAAAGACACAAAGCTCACCACCCTATCAACCACCTCAATACCACAAGAAAAAAAAAAAAAAAAAAAAAAAAACCACAACACCAACCGAACCAAAAGACAAGCCCATCCCCCAGACACCAAAATCCACCCCAAAACCCCCAACATAACCCCCAATACACCCCGGCACCAGAACCAACCTCACAATCAGATAAACATAACTCCGGATCCCGCAGATAACCACCAGCCTTAGATCCATATATACTACCCTTGACATCACAATGACCAACCACCACAACCCCCACCACAACCCCCACCACCATTGCTATTATGTCTCCACCACCAGGCAGTGGACCATATTATCAAACTTCAACCCATTCCTCAACAACATCCGATATGGTGTAGTGGCTAACATCGCCGTCTCTCACACGGCAGCCGGGGGTTCGATTCCCCCTATCGGAGTGTGATCAGATCAGTCTCCCCGACCCAGAATTCCTTTTTGTTTTTAGGTTTATTTTTTTGCTTATGCTCTATGCACTACCGGCTGTAGTAGCATGGAAAATCGCGGAGCGATTGGTTGGTAGCCAGCCAGTAAAAGATAGGGGTTGGGGAGATAGTGCCGTTAAAAGTATGTCTTATGAACCCAGTGTAGTCTAATACCTGGAGCAAGCGAGGCAAGTGAATAACCCCCAATACGTCGCGATTGCGCTGTCGCCCAGATCGAATTACAATTGGATGAGTGTCTGGCCGTGACAGTCGGTTACCGATTACTCCATACATTAGCTTCCAGTCCCGGTACCCGGAGCCAAGTATCACGGATGCACATGCTTGATGGTTTGTTTGCAGCTGCTGCACCTCCCGCCGCTGCAACAGACCAGACCATATATAACCTCTCTCGTATTCCCTCGCGCACTAATGCCGGTAGCCCAGCCGTGCGGCCGACTGGCGTATAGGCTGCATGACTGCCGCTGGATCCTATCACCGTCTCAATGAAGCTTTATCAGACATGGATCTATCCTGACACAAATAGTGCCGTTTCGGGATTAATTTCAGATAGGTACATTTTCTCCAATTATCAGTATGCAAAGGAAAAAAGCTACACACTATCTAAAAACCAGCTATTGCATGTCAAGCTGGAGATACAGAACTTTTGTTTGTGATAGAACACACAGAAAACAGAAATTAACGCATACCCACAAACCGGGGTGTGACCGATGACCCCTGATCCCAAGGAACCAAGGTGTCTCCTATATGGTTAAAACACGCAACGTAAAGAGTCTATCGTGATATCGACGAACGCCGCCCGTACCGAATTACGAAAGGGAAAAAGCCGGATAATCATGCGCAGGCAAGGACGAAAGGGAAAGCAGGTCTACCAGTGTGAAAAGATACAAGCTCAGTGACTGAACTGGGCGTCAGGAACAGTTTACCAACGACGGGTGCCGCCGAGGGGAGCGGCGTTGGACGCGGTATAGTTACCACCACGGCCACGGCCACGGCCACCCCAGCGACCGTGGCCACCGTGGTGACCGCCGCCGCCGCTGTAGCGAACCATCTCAGCAAGACGGGGATCGATCTGCTGCTTAGCCTCAGTGAGAATGGTGACCAAGTCACGAGCCTGCTTAGAGTCTGCAAGAAATGGGTCAGCGCAAGTACATCAAGGAGACGGTTAGAGGCCAACTTACTTTCAGTGGTAAAGAAGGTGACAGCAGTTCCCTTGTTTCCGGCACGACCAGTACGACCAATGCGGTGAACGTAGTCCTCGGAGTTGTTGGGGTAGTCATAGTTCAGTACATGGGTGATGTCGCGAACATCTTTGAGAAAACATGTAACGTTAGCAAACAGAGCATTAGTCAAGCGAGCAACGTGGCCGAGGAGGTGCCCATTCTCAGTCGTGTGAGACTTGATGCATCACTCTCTCTTCTTTCGGGACTTTCATCGAAGATCCGTAGTGGACGAGTCCAAGGGGTGGCAAAATCGCGGTCCTAGAGCAACCTTGGAATGCAGCGTTCAATAGGTCGGTAGAGAAAGAACCCCAACTCTCTACCAACCGAGATCACAAGTTGTAGACGGGTGAATCAGAACAGAGATACTAGTAACATCTGCTACACTGCACTGTGGGTCCAAGGTTCTCCTGGCTTGAGAACCATTTCAGGAGACCCGACATAGCCTGGACGAGTCATTTAAACACCAATTTAGGGTGGAAGAGAGTCGAGCACCGTGCCATTGTCACACAACCTCAATCGGGTGGTGCCTTGTAGGCGACAAAGGAAGGGGAGGGGAGGGGGAGGGGGGGAGTTTGCAATATCATCATACCAATACCACGGGAAGCCACGTCGGTAGCCACCATGATTGGGCTCTTGCCCGTCTTGAATTCGTTCAAAACCCAATCTCTTTCTTGCTGTTGCTTGTCACCGTGAATGGCTGGAACACAAATGTTAGCTGATGTTTCAGTGTAAGAGTCAAGAAAACTTACAGAGGGCGGGCCATCCGTCCTGTCGGAGGAAGCGGGTGATCTCGTCAGCGATACGCTTGGTACCAGTGAAGATCAAGCACTTGTTGCCGCGGTTCTCCATGATCTTCTCAAGGTGCTTGATCATGCGGTCACGCTTCTCAAACTCGGAAACAACCTCGACGATCTGAGTGATACGGTGGTTGGCAGAGAGGTCCATGGAACCGATGTTGACCTGGATGTAGTCGTTGAGGAAGTCAGATGCAAGCTGACGGACCTCCTTGGGCCAAGTGGCGGACCACATGCAAGTCTGACGGTCAGGGCGAATCTGAGAGATGATCTTGCGGATCTGAGGCTCGAAACCCATGTCCAGCATGCGATCCGCCTCGTCCAGAACGAGATAAGTGACACGACGAAGGTTGGTGCGGCCAGCCTCGAGCATGTCAATCAGACGACCGGGAGTGGCAATGCAGACCTCAACACCACGGCTAAGGTCGCGGATCTGAGGGCCCTTGGGCACACCACCGTAGACACAGGTGTTGCGAATACGGGAGGACTTGCCGAACTTGGAGATTTCGGCCTGGATCTGAACCGCCAACTCACGGGTGGGGGCAAGGATGAGGACAATGGGTCCGTCACCAGGGGCGAGCAGAGGCTGGGCGTTGATGTGGACGATAGCGGGCAGACAGTAGGTCAGGGTCTTTCCGGAACCAGTCTCGGCAATACCGACAACATCACGACCAGAGAGGGCCATAGGCCAACCTTGAGACTGAATGGCGGTGGGGCGATCGAAGCCCTGGGCCTTGACCTCGCTCAGGACGTACTGAGGGAAGCCAGCCTCGTCGAAGGTCTCAACGGGGCGAGGGACGTTCTTGCCCTGGACAGCCATCTCCTTGCTCTTGCGGAACTCGTCGACTTCGCGCTGGGAGCGAGCAGCAACATCGGGGTGCTCCTTGTAGAAGGACTTCTCGAACTTGGGAAGGGAGTCCATGTCTAATAAAATCATATAAGTGACTGCAAAGGGACAGAAGTGGACCCGGCGAACTTACCCCATTCTTGCTTCTTCAAGCCAGCGCCGAGGTTGGACATTCTGTCACCACCACCAGCGCCTCCACGGCCACCACCGTAACCACCACCGCCATAGCCACCGCCGCCATAGCCACCACCACCACCTCCGTAGCCACCACCACCACCGCTGTAGCCGCCGCCGTTACCGTAGCCACCACCGCCGCCGCGGGAGCTGCTGAGATGTTAACTATTGCTGACCTAGAAGGGAACAACACAAGGAATCCCAATAATGACATACCGGTAAGAATCACGCTGGTAGCCGCCGCCACCGCCGCCGCCGCCGTTGTAGGAAGACATGCTGAGGTTTTTGTTGTGTGAAGTTGAAGTTTTTAGAATTGGAAGGCAGAGTAAGCCAAACAAGGAAACGGTGAGAAAGAGAGAAACGACTGAAGATAAGATCAGACGATGCGACACACCCTCTAGGAGACGAGAGGATATGACAAAAGAAGGTGATAAGGAGTAAGAGACAGATAGGAGGGAAAGAGAGATGAGAAAAGAGATGTGTTATAGGATGGGGTGAAAGAAGATTGAGGATGGGAGGAGGGAAGGAGGAGGAAGAAAAAGAAGAAAAGGAAGGCGACTTGGGGGGGAGGGAAAGGCGGGATCTTTCTATGGAAGAAAAAAAAAGAGAAAGACTGGAGGCAAAACACCGCCTGATCGGGCATAGCGTAGAGGCAACTAACACCGCCTTTTTTTTTTTTTTAACTGGCACTCTGACTAATTGGTCCATTGAGGCTGGGTACAGAGTACTTTTAGTGACTTTTGAGTCCATTATTTTCAATGGGTGAAACAGCCTCTTTATTTGTAACTCCTTGTACACTTTTTCTGTACACAATGCACATGCTCATAAATAGTATCTCATCATTGATTATCCAAGTCGATCGTCATGCTTAGTAGTCCAGTTCTCAGCTATATACTCTACTCATACACAATCTTGAATAACTCTCCATTTCCAAAGCAATATTTACCATAGTCCGTCATCTCGAAACTGAAAGAGTGAATAGTCCCACTGCTAACAAGATTCGCCACCACCCAGACCCATGTCCCAGAATCTGATCTCCAACTCCGTCGCCCGCACGAAAATCTTAATCAATTCCTCCATCCGACTGGGCGAGACCTCTCGCATATGCTTTTCAAGCAATTCTAGAATTCGTCATGTTAGCGGGTCCCCATCGCCCCCAGCTTTCGCCTCCTGCAGGGAAGGGAGATCCCAAGGTGGTCTTGCTTACCGGACCCCAGACGCACTGCCTCGGTGTAGTCGTCGGCGACATAGTTCTCAACCCACTTCCAGTACCGGTTACCCTCCCGCACCGAATCTTTGTCCGTGTAGAGTCGTTGTGCGATAGCTCCGTAGCCGATTAAGCAAGGCGCAAGAGCCATCTGTAGGGCGAGCCAATCTCCCGACTGGCCAACGTCGAGGATATACCGACTATACGCAGTGCACGCTGCTCGTACGTAACAATAGTGTCCCCGTCAGTATTCTGAACCGAGTAACGTATAATTATGGTCGTCGGCGACGGAATGAGAATGGGTCACGCACCAATGGTTTCCGGAGTCTTCTCCATTTCCTCTTTGGTCAGTCCGAAGGAGGCACAGTAATCTAGGTGTAACGCTGTTTCGCGTTGGATATGTAGGACAATTTGCGAAGACTGTTCGCGTGAAATGGTCAGTATCTTGGCTGGTCGACCACCTGGTGACACCTCCACCCTCCACCCGAGTAGGATCGAAGCGCGCTTGTGTTTAAAAACATACCGCGGCGATTGATTCCATGCTCCCCGCCTTGTATGCAGCCAAAGCGTTGCTCCGTGCAAATTGAATCTGGTTCAGTTCGTCAGCACTGAATCTCGTCAAGGGAGAAAAGCTCGACATGTCATACCAAGTAAAGATAATCCTGGACGAGATATGATTTGAATCTCTCCAAAGGAAGTGTGCCATCGCCCAACTGCCGGACGAACTCATGCTCCGTAAACTTCTTCCAAGCTTCCTGAACGTCAGGACGATCCAGCGCATACTCTATAAAACGACCGCTGAATGACTCGTCAGCAACACATGCTCAACTCCATCTCTCAGAAGTAAAAAAGGGCAAGTGACTCACGGTGCAAACGGCAGGCTATACAACGAGTGGAAGTGGTTGATCGGCCCACTCCCCTTGCCGATATCAAAGCTGGTCTTGATACCGGCTTCAACAAACCGAACAGCGCTCTGGACGGCCCGCTTCATGCCCTTACCGAGGGCGAGATTGGCCGCAATGGCCGAGGCCAGCGAACAGCCCGTGCCATGCGTGTTCTTCGAGATGAGGAAGTCCGTCTCGAACAAGGTGACTTCCTCGCCATCATACAGTACATCAACGACGATGCACGCATCCTCCTGATTTTGCGCGGTCTTATGATCTTTTGTGAGGGGCAAATGACCGCCCTTGAGCAAGACTCCCTTTGAGCCCAAGGAACAGATCTGCTTGGCCAGCTGTACCATTCCAGGGAGGTCAGTAGGCTCGGAAACATCAATTCCGGAGTCCTTGAGAAGTAGCAGAGCTTCTGGGATGTTCGGGGTGAGGATGGTGGTCAGGGGAAGCAATTTCGACCGCAGGACTTGTACAGCGGCCCCAGGGAGCAGTTGCGATCCACTTGTTGACACCATGACCTGTAGTCCCAGTATCAGACCGGTGAACATAAACTGCATACTGGGGGAATGGAGATAGCTACCGGATCCAGCACCACCGCAGGAATCTGATGCGTGACCAGAGCCTCGGCAATCACATTAATTGTCTCCGCGGAGGAGAGCATTCCTTTCGCCAGTCAGCGCACGCACACGCATGATATAACCGGCCCGGCTTTCAATGAGCTGAAGCCAGAAAAGCCAATGGTGAGGAGGTGAGGAACAACGAACCCAATTTGACTACATCCGCACCGACATCTTCGAGGCCAGCATTGATCTGTTTCTTGACAAATTCAGGCGGAATGATAAAGATATCTTGCACTCCCAGAGTGTTCTGCGCTGTAAGACCGGTGGTTGCGGTCAGTGCATAGACGCCGTGAGCAGCCAGAACTCTCTGGTCCGCTTCTAGACCCCTGATGTCAGAATTGATTGCATTAGTTGACCAGGCCTTTGGAGAGAACCGTGCACAATTTGACGTACGCGCCACCCGAGCTGTCCGACCCCGCAATGACCAGAACTTTCTTAACCGACATGATAACACTCGAGTAGCCCAGATTGGGATCGAGTTGCCCTGAATGATTGAGATAATTGATGGGGATGCAGATGTTTACACACCGAGCGAGTCAACCCGGCAATGGATGGCGGGAGTCACTGATCGGGGACCGGAGGAGGGGAGTGCGGGGCCCGGCTTTTGATAAGATAAAAAGAAAAAAAAAAGAAAAAAAAACCCAAAAAAAGCAACAGCTCCGATCTCTCGACTATGCTTTTACTAACTACTTCCTACATGATACCCGTACATTAAAAATCCATAGATGCAAAATTGAATCCATGCCTATTCACCTCATCATGCCGTTGTTCCAAATCTGGTAATACCCGCTATCCACATACTAAAACAGAAAAGTTGCTGATATGTACAAATGTAAATAGATCTATTAAAAATCAATCATGGCAACATGAAGCGGAACAGACTATCCATTTCGACCCATTGTCGTCCGCACTTCTTTAGATATGCGTCCACGACCCCTTTGACAGTTCCAAACCGGGTACGGTTGAACTCAACTAACGCTGCCACACTGTCCTTCTTCTCCGCATTCCCATCCTTCTCAGCCGCAGTTCGAGCCTTGTCGACATCCCAAAGTCCGGCAAAGTAGAGCAGCTGGTTGTACATCTGTTTTTCCGTGTACTCGTAGGACATGCGACCAAGACAACCTTCAGCGTGACCTTTAGGACCCAGGCAGCGGTGCCCGTATACACTGATCTGACGCGTCCGGTTACCGCAGGCCGTATCGTCGCAGACAAGCCAGCCCTCATAGTATTTGGAAGTCTGGGCCCGGATCTGGGTTTCCAGCTGCGCAACGATGGTCAAAACCGAGAAAGGTTTCTGACAGGCTTGGTTGGGGCAGATAACGCCGTTGGCTGTGCACATATGAACGGACCCGAGCAACCCTTCAAACACCGATTTCTCCTTGCAGGACCGACAGGTGAGGGTGAGTCGGGCTGCGCTTTCGAAACGGACCGAATCGGGGATTTGCGATTCCAGCGGGAAGATGTCAGCGTTCTGCTGGTTGCTTGCAGTAGAAGTGTTGATCTGATATTTGCGGACATCGAGGCCCAAACACTCCGCCAACCGAACAGCATCAGTACCGGGGATAGGAGCACATAGACGCTCAATAGGCGGGAAGATCTGCTTGAGCAAATAAAACTCGATGTCGGGCTTGAGCTCCGAGTCGGGCTTCATCACGTCCTGCAGTGTATACGAACGTTTGGCAGGTGGGAGGGATGCAGTTTCCGAATCCCCACTGGTCACGATGTAGGAGATAACGTCATTGGGACGAACCGTCTTTCCTCGAGCGAGCTCGCGCAGGGCGACCTGCACTGGAGGCATTGTCTCCTTGTTGGGGTATTCCTCAGGTCGCTTGGAGAGTTTCTAGGAGAAACGTTAGCATTCTTTGGTCTTTACTGTCCTCAAACCGACACTCCATACCGTATAAATCACGTATTTCTGCACAGGGACAGTGAACTCTCGCATCTTGCCTGCAAGATCGCGCAGGTAGTCGTGGATCCGGTTAAGAACAAGTTCTTGGTCCTCGCCAGAGAGAACCTCATTCAACAGTTTCTGAGAAACTTCCTTCGACAGTGAGCAGTACTCACGTCTCTTCATGTCGAGACCCTTGACTTCCAGCTTGTCAACGTACTTGCCGTCTACTTCTGTGATGTTGACGGCAGCGTACTTCTTCTTGGCATGCAAGAGGAGACGACGGAAGATGTTGTCGATATCGATCTCCAATAGTCGATAACGCTCATTCACCGACTTCTTGAATTCCTCACCGACCTTAATCGCATCGCTGATAGTGTCCATATTCGTGTTGATCATGACGGAGTCAGTATCACCGTAGATGACACGGAGTTGTTTCGACTCCGCCAGCTCCTTGGTGCTTCTGAGAATCTCACGCCCCTTGAAGGTAGTAAGCATGGCCAAGGGACGAGCATAAAAGCGACTCTGCGTGTAACCCAAGCATCCGTACATAGAGTTGGCCGTCAGCTTGAAGGCCAACTGCTTAGTGTCCCAGAGAGCGAGCTGCTCAGGCGTCGCGCGTTTGTCTTTCATCAACTTCTTCACCTCACGTCGACGACCGACCAAAGTTGCGATTAGGCGGGGCAGGATACCCTGCTCTTGCTCTGACGACGGGACCTCGGGTACTTTCTCCTCCTTGTCATTCTCGGCCTAGATAGAGCTGTGAGTAGGCGTTCAGTGGTTGGTCGAGTTCATAAACTCACAGTTGCCGTCCGTTCCACGGTTGTGAAGCAGATGTTAAACTCCTGAATGATACTCGGGTACAGACTGTTAAAGTCCATGACTAGGACAAAGCGGTCGTAAAGGCCCTTCTCGGGTTCAAAAACCAGACCACCCTTATATTTGTCCTTCTTTTTCTTGTCCGCCGAGTCGTCCTCGTCACCTTCCTGGAGTTTCTCTTCCGCTTTCAACAGCTTGGAAGAGTATTTATCAGGACAGATGTATTTGTTCCGGTGGAATTCGTGGAGGAGAATGTACTCGTTCCGCTCGGCGCGCGTACCGCTGAGCGTCCTTGCCCAGGAATTACCAGCAATATTGGTGAGCACTTTGGTCAGAGGTAACATCTGCAGCTTCAAGACAAGAGCGGCGATGAAGTAGGTGTCTGCATCACAATGGTTCACAAAATTCATGAGACCATCTTTCGTGGTAGCCCAAGATTTCAAGGCTGCTTCGGTGTCTAGTTCTTGTCTCGTATTGCCCTGTCCCAAGTAGAGTTCGCACATCTCTGTCAGGCTCCAAGATTGACATTTCATCATCAGAGACTATCAAATGTCAGCACATATCCTTTTGTGACCGCTGTCACTGAAACTTACCTTGCCCATGTCATTAGCCACATCACACATCAATCGTCCTGCGATCAAATGCCTTTCAGCGAAGAAACCTCCACCCCTGTTGAAGTTCTTAGGCCAGTCTCCACGTTTCAGTCGCCCGAGGCGATGCCATCCTGGCGTCTTCTTTTCCTTGAGTCGGTTGAGAAGAACGCTGAGGTCGACTTCCTGGAGCTGGTGCCCCATGAGGACATCAGGATCCATCTTCTCGAACAGTGCCAGGAATTTACTGAGCAGAAACTGCTCGCTCCTTTCCAGCATGAATGTACCTCGTTGCTTCCGGGTTTCGGCTTCGAAGTGCATGGGGTAAGAGGTGCCCACCGGCCGCATAACCGTGAAAGTTTTGCAAGGCAGCTTCTCCGGGGGAGTAGTGTCCGTGAGAGAGACATTCTCGTAGACTCTGGCACTGGCCACCAGAATCTCTTGCTTGTTCTCCTTGACGTTGAGTTGCGTGCGGAACGAAAGACTCATTAATGTGAGAGGCGGTGCGTCCAGATTCTCGGAATCGGGCACCGGAGAGATGAGCGCAGGCTTCGACACCTGGCATTCAAACTTACACCAGGAGGCATTGTTGACAGCCGAGAAGTCTGCTTCTTCAATTTTCAGCCAACATGGACCCATAATGTTTTTCCAGAGCACAAATTGTTCGAACAAGGCCGTGTTAGTACCGAAGACGTGGGAGAATGTCTCCCCCTTGACGTCCATGGGCAATGCAGGCTTATCATAAGGGTAGAGAAGCTTCAGATAATCCGTTTCTTTCGGAATGCCGGGCACCTCAAACGCATACTTGCGCGTGCACGGCTTGATCTTGTGCATTCCCACTCGCAACCTCGACATCATATCGTCTACTTCGCGATAGACATCTTCCATATCCACCTCTTCATCGGTCTCGCGCCCGTGCTTGTGACGGTTCTCGCGGGGAAGAAAGTATAATTTTCGGAGGATATTGTCGACTTTGACGAAGGCACTGGCATAGGAGCCTGTCTGTTTATTCTTCACCTTTCCGAACAAGCACAGGCTCCCGTTGACCTCAGTGAAATCCAACCAGAACATACGTAAGCTCCCATCTTCCTCAACAACGTCTTGTGGACGTAGTTTTCCGAAGGTTCGCATCTCAGAGTGGGCGGGGCTGCTGAGAACGTTCAGCTTGCTTCGGACGTCGTTCCAAGATGCATCAACGTCTGATAGAGCCTTGGCAGGAGAAGAGCTGGCGATCGAAGGATAAGACTCCTTCTTAAGTTTAGGCACTGGTCGGCTCCCAGCCATGTTGATACTTGCTGCCTTGGCTTCGTTCTGGCCAGTAGCTTGCGTGACCTCCATCAGGTCGGTGTCATCCTCGTCCGATTCTTCTACCTTGACCGCCACAGCCGTTGTCTTCCTCTCGATGGCCTTGCTGATAGGCGATGAAGGCATTGGATCACTCATGGGAAAGTCCTCATCATCCATGTTGGGAAGCGGACCATCATCATAGTCGTCGTCCATGTTAGTATCCGACTGATCCTTTACCGGAGAAACCGAATCACTATTCTCATCCTTCTTAATATGCGCATCCTTTCGCGTTCTGTCCGAGAGCGGCGGGGACAGGATCCGGACTTTGCGTCGAGTCTCGGACTTGACGATATTTCGGGTCGGTAGGCGTTGCGGAACGACGTTGGTATCGACCTCTCCAAGGAGGTCAGCCATGAAGGCATCATCCTCTGCGGTAGCCACTGGCTAAAGTGGAAAAAATTGCAAGTTAGAACAAAGCCCAGGTTCTAGACCCTCTTCCTCCAACTTCCAAGCTATCACGTAACCTTAACCCGAGGGACAAAAAAAAGAAAAAAAGCTCACCTTGGGCTTCGGGGCGGACGGCGCAGCCCCGCTGTTGAAGTATTTCGAGATCCCGTTGTTGATTTTTTCCTTCCTCTGCTTCTCTTCTTCACGTTTCCGCTTGGCAGCCTTGCTCCGGGCAGGCAATTCATCGTCCTCGCTTTCACTGTCGTAGTCGGCGCCGCGCTCGTTCCACACTTCGCGACCGTCGTCCGCGTATCCTTCGCCGTTATCGTCGACCACGAAGTCGTCCTGATCGAGCCGATTGCGGATGATTTTCTTGTACCCTTCGTCATCGACCTCTTCGTAGACATCGCCCTGTTCCTCCACCTCATACGTGGAAAGGCGTTTCTTGCCCGCGGCGCGGAGAGCGCGCAGCTCTGCTAATTTGGCACGGGCAGACATGGCGACCCGACTGTCCTTGGTTCTTCTTATGAAGAGCTAGAGTCCATGAAAAGCTGTTCACTTGGTCAAATCAAATTCGAACAAGCCTTAGGATAACAATGGGGTCAGAAAGTGGGTTCTGAGGAAGGGAGGGGGGCTGAGAGTTCAATGCCAGCTGCTGTTGCTCCGACAGGAAATGCGGGAATCGCGCGGAGGCGGAGGCAGAGGCAGGTTCAACGCGTTTCGGAAACGCGGTTGCGACGCGCAACCCACCAATCCCGTTAAAGTGGTTTTACACTGCCTATTATAGTAGGTGAACACCAACGCATCTGTATCTACGGAAAGGCATCTACATAATCCCCGATGCTTAAATCAAGAACTAACACAATCGATGAAAAATTGTGTTGTCACCGTCAAGGATTCAATTAATTTGCCGCAGGACTAACATTGACAACGTCATACATATAGCCCATCCTCTGAACTCATGTCACTATCTTCCACTGCTATCTGTTAGCGTTGTCCGACACAAATGGAGCCCTGATATTTACCTGGTACAATCCCGTAGTCAAAGGACCCGTCCAGATTCGCCTTCAGAGTTTCACTGATCAGGAGTTGCGCCTCCTCGGTCAGAGTACTATCTACTGCATTCAGGATTGACAGGTTGAAGCCTTTATTACCGGGCCCTAGCTGCGAGATAAAGTCAAGGATTCCATCAGCAGTGAACTTGCTGAAGGCGGGGATTACAAGACTCTCCAGCTTCGAGAGATGTGTGAATGCCTGAAAAACGGTATCGTCGAAAAAGTCGCCGCTTATCCAAAGCTTTTCCAGGCGGGGAAGCAACGCGGTCAAGGTCATGACATGATCTTGTGAAAAGCCGTCGGAAATGTCTTTCAGGTCCAGCTCACGTAACTCACTCAGCTGGCTCAGTGCCTGTACTAGGACCTCGTTGTCATGGTTGGAAAAGGAGGCTTCGCCGCTAAGGCAGAGAGTTCGCAGAGTCTGCTGGCAGGCAAGGGCTTCATGAAAGGCCTGGCCACCTGACATATTATACCGAGACAACGAAAGACTAGTCAGGTTGAACCCTTCGCTGGTCAATGTCTGTGATAACAGGAAGGGGTCATCGACAAATCGTCTCACTTCTAGCTGCCGCACTGATTTGCAGCTGCCGATCCACTCGGCAACTTGCGAGACAATCGTATAGAATCTCTCATCCCGCGGGGATGGAACCGAGTCGGTTAAAGTTAAGACCCTCAACGAGGGAAGGGCTGCTAAAGAGGGCAGTTGTGCAATGCCATCGATTGTGAGGCTTGTCAACTTCAATTCTGATAGCGATTGCCGATGTGAGCCCAGACCCACAATGGAGCGAGGCCCAAGCTGGCTCATGCTGATCAGTTCAAAGGTTTCCAATGTGTTTGGCCTTAATTGGTCGAGAAACTGTTCGGATTCAGCTTCCGCGGTTGTGGGCGGACGGTCTCTCCTGCGCACTCGTCAGTACTGTATCCAGAACGATTTCCAGTGGCATATTCGGGTCTATACCAAGAATATATGGTGAGGTGCTTAAATTTTGGGCAGTTATGACGGAGCTGGGCACCAGCATGTTCGCTTAGAGCTTCGCCAGACCATACCGTTAGTGATTGCAGCAAGGGCAGTCCCCCTACCCAGTCGGATAGTGTTTCAGGGGGAACTAGAAAGGCCATTAGCAAGAACCCATAACATACACTGGCCAAGCTTAGACGTTGGGCCTACCATTGAGCGACATCCCTCGTATCGAAGCCGTCTTCTTCACAATCGCTGTTTGGCGTTAGCTCTTCATCTCATATCTCATCGTCATATAGAGCCAAGAAGGGACAGACAGACCGGAACCAATCTTAAGCTTGACCGAGTCGGCACTGGGATCGGGGCCCTTGAACGACGACCGGAGCCGTTTGCTGCCTTTCGACTGGTAGTCGGAAGAAACAATCTCTGATAGTTCCGGGGTGAAAAAGTCACTACAATCAGCCCGTCAGTATTTTGATCACCTATAGCTGATATCTGGAGCATGTATTACTCCCGTATCTGCCCGCTGAAATTTGGATCTTTCAGCAGATCTCCCAGATCATCCAGATCTAGATAACGAAGATAGCTGTAGTAAGGCAGGTAGGTCTGACCCAAAGCCGACAGAACAATGGATCGCCATAAGGTTGCCCACTTCCGTACGGTGGGGTCGACCTCGCGCCTCAAGGATGCATTAAATGTAAAGCGTCTGCGCGGGTTGAGAAATTGTTCATCCTCCGTCCCTCCACCCCGTACGGGTGACGCATGGCACACCCTGCAGGGAGTATCAGCAAAAACGCACCTCATGGGGACGGAGAATGGAAAAGCAAAGGATGGGAAGCATACTTATACAACGCAGCTAGCGCGTGGGCGGTCATGTATTTCGAGGATATGGCGCATTGAAATAAGCTGTTGTGGTCTCGCTCATCTCCCAGGATATCGAAGATCATACAAAGTACGTCATCGGCTAAGGCGAATCCCATCTTCGCAGCGCAGAGCTCCCAATTCCTTAAGAATTCCCACTAACTAACCAAGACAACTCAATAGGCGTATTATGCTTTGACAAGAAGTGTTTGGCCCTGAGTCCTCGCGCGGGAAGGGTTCTTTGAAGGTTGTCTTTTGAAGGAGAGATACTGTAGGGCCGCCAGTCCTTCCAGTAGATACGCGCTTATGTAATCTCGTGTCGTGTTTGCGGTCAACGTGCGGCGGGTTTGCATCAGCCATGGAGAACTTATCCAGGACCAAACAAAGACAATCTGTGAGAAACTGCGTGATAAGAATTCGGAGGGTGTGGAGAAGGACACAAAAAGTACTGCTCGTGATCCGCAATCTCCCCGCTCATTCTCGATAAGAAGCATACATGGCCTCCCTATCGTTCTCCCTCTCCCCGGAGGCGATCTATCAACTACACGATGCATTGATGTGCCTGGGTAGATTTGGCGACAATGTATCATTCGAAGCCGAATTCGATCTGGTACGTGATGCTCTACTTGTGTAACTTGAAAGTCCTGAAGTGACTCACACAGATGAAATCAAGCTTCGTTTGAGCGTCTTGAACTCCACCAAGACAGCCTACGCCGCCTTCGCCTTTGATGCAGACAAGTTCTTCGAGTCCTACTCATTCGGGGTAGATAGACGCAACATGTCTGCAGGCGTTCAATCACATAAGTTCTGTTGCCAGGTGTTGATCAAAGTGGGTGGTCTTCGGACCAAATTAGCCACCACCAAGGGGGTTTTCTCCAGCTAACATTGGAATAGGCCCTCGTGTCCGTCTTCAAAGGAAGAGCAAGTGGCCGCAACAAGGACACCTCGGTCGAACGATGCGAGTTCGAGCTGCAAGACAATCCCGATGAGACGGAATGCCGCCTCGTCATCAGACTGATATGCGGACTTGGTGATTAACCCTACCCTCTACCGCAAGCATATTTTGTTCCTCCCGCCAGGATGCTGACGACTCAGGCGTCATCAAACTCTACAAGCTCACGTACGAGCCCGTCTATGTTCAGCATGCAACATTCGACAGGTCCAGAGCGACGAATGAATGGAGCATCGAGCCCAAGTTTCTGAAAGAAGTCACCGACCACTTCGGACCGTCGGCAGAGCAACTGGACATTTACTCCGAGCACGGCAAGACCGTTTTCACCAGCTTCACTACCAAAATCGCTGACGGAAAAGGTTTAGATCTCCAAACTAAAAGTCTGCTCGCCCATATCTATGCTAACGAATACCTTCTATGCAGAGATCCTGCGACAACCAGTGCATACCTCCGTGGCCATCGACAAACGGGACTTTGAGTATTACCTGGCCGAGGACAATCGACACATTGCGATCAATCTGAAGGACTTCAAGGCTGTCCTTGCGCATGCTGATATTGTCCACGCCAGACTCACCGCCCGGTTCACCACTCCCTGCCGCCCGCTGCAATTCGCATACGAACTCGAGGGTGTCAAATCCGAGTTTACCTTGATGACGAGAGGTGAAGCCGTCGGGGACGATGGGCCAAGCTCGTCTCGAGCCGCCGCGCCACAGTTGTCTGCTCGACAGACCCCAGCGCCTGTGCAAGTGAGTCAGCAGAGGCCCACTGCTACCGACGCAAGTCGAATGCCGCCGCCGTCCTCGCGGAGTCGATCTCTCCGCCCTCTCACCGGAACGCCCGCTCGAGCTTCACAGACCCCCGCAGAATCCCAGAGACCTCAACCCCCGGTCGAATTCGATAGTCTCTTCGTACCTGCGGATGATGACCGACAATGGGACGTGTCGAATGACGAGGAGGCTCCAGCCGAGGACGAGCTTGGCTGGGATGCCACGGGTGACAAAGTACGACTCCCAGCATTAACCGTCTTCCATTGGCAGCTGGTTACTGACTTGATAACAAAGGACACTTTCACCGCCAGCTTGGGGACACGGGTGCCCAACGAGGAGTCGGAGGCCGCCGAAATAGGCCAAGAGGAGGAGACGGGCATCCCGCCCACCCAGCGCATATCACAGGTGACTTTAAGTGCCCTGTCCACATGAAATTGACGAGGAAACTAATACCGTCAGCTCCATGGCCTTGGTCTGTTCGATTAAGCAATCAAGCATCGCCGCGCCAAATAATGGCCACCTGAAGGTTCCCACAACCGCGTCGGAGCCAACATTAGGCAGTAATGATCCAGCTTGTCGCGCAACCGGCGCCAACGCCCACAATATCGGACTCGCCATCTGGCAGGGAAATCCGTTTCCACCCCCCCTTGACATTACCCTGCGCATCAGTATCGGGACCACAGTTCCCATGCTCGCCCCAGCCACAGGCCACAACCGTGCGCTCATCCAACCGAGCAAGAAGATGCTCGCTCCCCACCGCCAGGTCCCTCACCACCTGGCCGTGCCCCAAGTCACCGGTACTGGTCGATGATGGAATCTGTCCGCGATCATTCCTGCCCCAGGCCACCACCTCCCCATTGTTCAAATGTACATAAACGCCATGCCAACTGACCTCGATGGCCCGATAGCCGCCCGCGCGTAGTGCCTTCTCCTTCACCTGGGACGCAGACACCCCCGAGCGAATCCCCCACTTATCATCCACCGCGCCCAGCACGGCGAACTCCCCCCTAGCAGGATCGCCCATGATCACCGTAAACTCCCGCCCACACGCCGCCCCGGTCGCCGGGAACCCCAGCCCCTCCCACCCCTCAATCCTCCGGGGACTCCAGACCACCTTGTCAGGGATATTCGCTTCCCCCAACTGGCCCTTTCTCGCCGCGCCCCAACCCCACACGCTCCCATCGGAAAGCACCACCACCGTGTGGGCCATCCCACTCGCAACCGCGCGCACCCTTACCCCGGGAGGCGGGAAATCCGGAATCGCGACGCCGCCCGCACTCGCGCGGAGACAGCCCTTCCCCAATCCCAATTCCCCTTTCAATCCCGATCCCAACACAAACACTCGATCCCTGCTCTCCTGTCCCTCCTCCTCCTTCTCTAAACCAGAAGCGACCAAAACCGTCCCCTCCCACGAAGCAGCCACCCCCGTGAACGTATCATAGACCTGACCACCACCACCACCACCTGCATCACCCGCACCACCCCCAAAATCACCAACAACAACAACCACTCTCCTAAACCGCATCGCCATCTCCCCCTCCCCCTGGCCTCCATGTTCCTTCGAAGATACCCCACACCGCCCATCCCCATTCCACCCCGCTGCAAAGACCCTGCCCCCCCGATCCGCCACCAAAGTATGATTTCCCCCGGCCACGATACGAACCACATCGCCTCCTTTCGGGGTACCCTCATCTCCAGGCGCTGCATCCTCCGCAACCTCGAAAACACATCTTACCGGCAGTGAGACATCCTCCTCATGCCCCAGCCCCAATTGGCCGGAGCCATTCGACCCAAACGCGAAGAGAGGCATTCCTTTCTAACTCCGGGATTTGTCGTGATGTGGCTTGCTTGCGTGATTTGCTTTGTGCTAGCGAGGTAATCTAGCGACTCGACTACCAGAGGGTATACTGCCACACCGGGGAAAATACCCGATCAGTATACAGCACCGCAATCGAATGTTATCCCCCGGTTTTCTTCTCGAGAGCAGTCGAAAATCAAATTACTATCTGCTGCCCCTGACGGGAGAAAAGTTTAGATAAATCCGTATCACGTATGAAAAGTAGCAAACAAGGAAATATCATCATGGATGCATTGGGATGAGAGAGAATAGACAGACCACTGGGTTTGTTTGTTCTCTTTAGCGGTCAAGAGAGCACTCCTTTTCAATATGACAAGAGAGATAACCGAGGGTAGAGGACAGTGGCTGAACTACCTAGGCACCACTAAAGATCAGATAATCTTGCAGGTGATAATGAGTGGGGTGGGAGAGGAATTTCGATGCAGGAAGATTATTGATAACGATGCGATAAACAAGTGACGAATGTACCGCCTTTTCCTTATCGCTTACCTCTTCCGGCGGCGATTATCCGGCAGAATCCTGGTCGGCCGAAAACGGCAGAGTGGAAGACCGGCAATGACGACGTGCGAGAACGCCGTGGGGCCAAAGGACGATGTAACTTGCCCTCCGATGAAAATGTAAATGTCCAAGTCTGGGGTAGAAATGTGGAGACAAAGGATACTACGAGGCCTTATGTAAGAAAAAGAAAGTCAGGATGAAAAGTATGTATTTCCCAGCATTGGGGAGGATGCAATATTAATCAGCTTCTATATACTTAAAAGTAGGTATTTATGTACCTGGGTATTGGGAGGAGGTGTACAGCCACAACAAGAACCAAGCAAAACCACTCGCTCGAAAAACAAAGATTGTGAAACAGCAAGAAAGGAAGAGTGAAAGGCATCATCAACCCGGATTGGGGTATGCCACATGCAATGCATCAAGCCGATGGTCTTTTCAAAGTGCTAGAAAGGGAATCATTCAACATAACCTAATGGTTGGTCTTCTCATTGAAGGACTCTTCCGAGTCATCCTGCGCAGCCGGAGGGAGAGCGAAGTTATCCGTCCTCGTGGCCGGCTTGTCCATTCCGCGGAACATAGGGCTAGTGCGGTGGAAGTAGGAGTGGACGTGGCCTTCCAGAAGAGACTCATCGGTGTCCTGCAGGTAGTCTTCGCCCTTGGTAGTCTCATCCATTTTGCGAGCCATGGCAGACTCCCATTCAGCGCGGAACTCCTCCACCTTCTGCTTGTAGTCAAGCTCGGCGTTGTAGTTCTTTCCAACGCCGCGCAGACGCTCCCAGACAGACAAGTGCTTGGAGTGGATAGCAGGACCGTGGTAGTCCTGCTCACGGCCTTCACGGATGTACTGCCAGCGACGTTCCTGCTCCTTCAGATCCAGACCTGTGGTGTCGGGAAGGAAGAGCCAGGTGAGAACCATGCCGGCCAGACCCCACCAGGGCACAAAGTAGAACTTGGTGCGGGTGCCGATGTAGTTGTACAGCACCGAGGCCAACAGGGCACCGAGTTTACCGCAAGCGGCGGAAATACCGTGAGCCGAGGCGCGGATAGGAGTGGGGAATACTTCGGCGGCGACCAAGAAAGTGATCGAGTTGGGGCCGAATTGGTTGAAGAAGGAACTCAGGAAGTACATAGCCTGGAAAGCGTGGATGTTCTCCGGCTGGATGTAGTAATCGTAGTGGAAGGCGGGAACGACGAACATAACAAAGCACATCAGGAAACCGATCATCTGCATCCACTTGCGACCGTAGAGTTTGTTGTCCACGAAGAAAGAGGCGCAGTAGTATCCAGCCAACGAGACACCGACATTGCACAAGCTCCACAACCATGTAGGCATAATGGAGTTGTTACCGGGGCTCAAAACTTCGATGAACTCGGAGCTGAAAAGCTTGTTACCGTAGAAGAAGACATCATTGCAGAACCAACCGCCAGTGGTGGCCAGAAGACGAGGCCCGAAGTACTTGAGGGTGAGCTTGAGAGAGTTGACATCATAGCCAGTGACAGAGGCCTTCTTCTTAGCGGCGTCCAGCTGCTTACTAGCAGACTTCATGTGGTAGGCACGGTAGTAGACCAGCCACAGGGTTCCGACGGCGGGAATGGCGAAGGAGATACGGTAGGTCCATTGAGCGGCAACGGCGGAGTAGGGAGGGTTACCGCTTCCATGGTGGAAGATCAGTAGCAAGATGATCAGGATAGCCTGGTTGAAGAACTGACCCCAACCTTGCATCAAGAAAGCGCTAGTGACCTTGCGACCACGATGGAGACGATCCTCCTTGGTCGAAACCTTTCCGGAGCCGACGGCATTCTCCATACCGCTGGTGGCAGTCATGGGATATTCACCACCGACACCAACACCGTAGACGAACAGAGACCAGGCGTAGCAAATGATCCAGCCATTCTCGTTCACACCCCAAGCTGCGATAAGCATGATCAGACCGAGAAGCATGATTGTAGCATCCTGAATCAAACCCCAGCGGCGACCGACCCTAAATCATGTGGTCAGCGATACTCTTTCCGAACAGATTCGAATTGAAGACCATACCAGTCACCTAGAATACCGACCAAGATCTGACCGACAATGATACCGAGAATCTCGAGGTAGTCGATGGCGTAGATCCATTGCTTGTCGCAAGTCTCGTATTCTTTCCAGCAGGACTTGAAGGAATTCTGGAAGAGAGGTTTGATGTTTCCGATAGAGAAGAGCACGTAACTGGATAGGCGCAAAAAGCAATGTGAGCAAAACTGGTGGCACCTTCGGGAATAGTCGTTGGAGGGGTGGACCTACCCTTCGAGACCAAGACCAGCACCAGGCAGGACCATATTCCGGAAATAATAAGAGACAGGAGAAAGAGGATCCTCCTTGATCATGGCCCAAATTCCACGAAGCTCACGCTTGGATTCCTGGGCATCGTAGGAGCCAACGAACTTGACTCTCTTGACTAGGGGCAGATCGGCCCAATAGGTACCATCGGGCGTATAGCTGTCATCGGGACGAATGAGCTGATCGAAGGCACCCTTTTCGTGGAGATCCATGTCCTCGAGGGGATTATGGGTGCCAGTCATGTCGGGGCCATGGGGGGCCTGAGCACCGAGAGTTGCCATCTTGTCGGACGATGTGATATGATAATCGACTTGGCTGTCGCAACAAGACTCGGACAAGAAGAAGAGGCGCTCTTAGAAAGATCTCCTAAAGAGGAGGGAAGGGGAAAACGGGCGCGTTGACCGTGATGGAGGCGTCACACACGATGCAGGCCAAGTTGTTGGACAGCGGCCGGCCATCAATCTTATATTCAGAAAATCTCTGGGCTGGGCGGACCAGCAACAGCCCACCGTCACGCCCCAGGCACATGTGCAAATGGTGGGACGTGATAAGCCAGACGCCGGTCTTGGGGGGAGGGAGGGGGGGAGTGTGTGTGTGTGTGGTTCATGGGTCGACGGGGGAAATTCTGGGTAGCCCGTAGTCTGGTAGGTAGTGCGAGATCCAACTGTAGTGGCGGCGGGTGGGGAAGTAAGAATTAGTTTTAGCGGAGTGGATCCCAAGGAAAAAAGAAGGGTTCCACTGCGCTGCAAGTCGTTAGTCGACTTAGACTAGGATGCAGGAAGGCGGACTCTCGCCAGCCCCAGTGCCTAGGCCCTAGACCCAGTTAAGGATATTGAATAGGTAATTGAATACTGGAGCCACTTTCTCTCTTTCCTCTCGGCCTTTGTGTCGCGGCTTTTCGACCGGAGAGACCGGAGCGGGTGAAAGTTCCCATGAGAGGAGAAGAGGTTCAGGACGGGGCGGTCATCGGTCATCGGTACCTAGTAAGTACTGCAGTAGTGGTAGGTAAGAGAGGTTTCCAATCCAGCTTGCCGTTCCCGGGCAGAGTTCCTTCCTCCGAGAATCAATTGCACCCACCACACCCGCACCCACCCGGATGAATTGGAAAAACCCATCTATCCGAATATTATTATGACTTCCGTCGGGTGGCATGAGAATCAACATGAAAATCTATTATCCCTCCAAAGGATGAATTCCAGAGGATCCAGTCAAACTAGGATTATGGATTATGAATAATTCTCAGGAATAATAATAATGCCTGGGGGTAGACGGTGACTGTGGCGGAAGTCAGTTGAGGTTGAGCCCGCCGAGGAAGACGAAGGACTAACCTTGGTGCGGAAAGGCGGGCGTGAGGGGCGTTTCCCACTGCAGAACTTCCGCCGCCGGCCAATCAAAAGCGCACGTGGGGGCAGAATCGCCTTCGATCGACATTGACCGCCTTCTAGAATCACCCGCCCGGATTTGCCTCGGTCCAATAAAATGTTGGCAACTGCAACCCCACTACGAAAGCTGCACGCCTGGCCGGCCCCGAAGTCACCATGAATTGCTGGCAGGTGGTGGTGGTGGCATCATCCTCCATTTTTCGACTGTTGGAAATTTCCGGGGGAGATAACAAAAAGACGGGGGATCTATTGGATCTGGATCTAAGAATAATCACGACGCTGCAAAAAAGACCGACCTGCATCAATTGGACCAATCTGGCTGGCTCACTTAGTTGTTCCCAGATGGGAAAGAGAGAGCGTGCGCTGCGTGCGCTGTCAAGTGAGATCTTCAAGTATATGAGAAAGTTGGATTGAGCGGCAAGAGGGCTCCGCTCGGATCTTCAGTGTGTTACCCAACGCTGTTCATCATGATGTTGATTTATCTCGATTCCATTAGATCTTACAGCTGAATGATGCACATTTGATAATATGAGTATGTTTTCCTGCGTTGTCTTTCGTCCTTACGTTCCTTCGGTCCTCGTCCACCCGACGACAGCCATGGACTTTTTTGGAATAAGACATGGCTCATTGGAACACGCGCACATAGATAGTTTGACCCGGGCTGAAACTCGTGGTCGAAGTCTAAACATGTGCCGATGCATACGTAGTTGCATATACAATTGAACAAGTAAAGTAAGTGAACAAGTGAACATGGTGTTTGGCATCTCTTGGCACTGCACTTCAGTTGTTTGTCCGCCAGCCAGTCGCATCGCGTCCTGCCAGCACGTTCCCGCCAACCCTTCCCCAGTCGTCCATCAACAACACTTCCCGAGTCCCCCATCTTTTGTTGCCCTCGTGCTCTTGTGCCTATCTGGGAGGTGCCCCTCCCGAGTTCTCTTTCATTATCGCCTGATCAAGAGTTCCATCCGGTTTCATGGCTCCTGCTCGTTTCCACGGATGGAGACGTCGGCCGACCACATGGCACTACGTCCGCCCTCTTTGGACCTATCCCTTGCCTGCATCGCTCCACGGTGCATTTCAGTCAGCTTATACATCATTCTCGTACAGGACACCGGAACGAGGTGCCACAGTCACAGTGCAGCTTGGGACCCTCCGTCTCCGCCCGATCATGGTCATCGAATCTAATGTGTGTTGGATGATGACGGTGCACGTCTTGTCTCGGAGATGCTCTGGGCGGACTTTACCGATATCAACCTTCAAACCTTAAAGATAGGGGTCTCATCATACTACAGTCTGGCACCTCCTCCTGGCAGTATGAAGCCGGCTTGGGTTTGGTCCAATGAGAGCCGCGGGCTCCGCCTCGTGGCTCATATCTCTTTGACCCGGGCCTACCTTTCCACTCCCGCGGGCAGACCATCAGCATTGCTGACAGGGTCTCCCATATCAAAGGAGCTGTTGAGATTAGGGATCGTCTATCCCACTGCTCCTTCCAGCTCCATCCCGAGCTTCATGGGTCATGGTCAGCCGCCACCTTGCTGCGTATGCATCTAGAAACAGCTACCCGGCCGGCTCTAGTGCAGCAGATTGGCCACGCACTCTGATAGTTGGGTAATAGCTGCAGGGAGACAACATGAGATCGCTGGACCCTGATTCCCTTTTCATCAAATGAAAGGATCTAGATGCGACTCATGGCCCGGTGGTGCGCGGCGTTCAGCGAGATCGGCCGCTCATCTCCTGACATTGCAGCCAGGCGAGATCCAGCAGAGCCGATGGTGGTCAGACGTGGTCTCTTGGGAAGATATCCCTTCAATGAGTGGTTCGGTAAAGTATGGCCGCTACAATGGCTTCAAGCTCTGCTTTCCACACATCGATTGATAATGAAGCACGCTGTGCGCAGGCTGATATCTGTTTCCGTCATCCAAGCAAAGCTTGACTGAAGGCGTGTATCACAAGCCTTCTTGGCCTCATATCTCGTCCAGGGAACACACGGCTTGGTTTCCGCCACTGGATGCAGCCTTGTTTCTTGGAGTTCTTTGCCTAGAATCATCCTGGCGCTGCTTATGCATTGCCACACCCTCGACCCTGCATGCCTGGGAGGCTACTAGGCCAGGCGTCGAAGGAATGCCAACGCGGCAGCCGATATACCCGCTCTTTGCTAGCTCGTGCAGATGTCTCAAGTGGGTTGCCCCCCTTACTTAGTCATGTACGATGCATTGTCACCGAGTGAACTGGCTCTCGCTCTGCCGTTACTCGGGTGTAGCCCGGCCCGCGCCACCGGTCATCAGGTCGGTTGCCTTGTGTAATCGTCGACGGTGGTACAGTCCCAAGCCCTTGCATGGACACAAGGCTTACCCGAACACTTTAATTCGACAGACTATAACTTTGGTGGTGGTGGTGAGGTCATGCCTGCTCTCTGGTCTTCTTGGCCCGGCGCTTTCAGTGTCGACTCGAGAAGTTGTCCAACGACTCACGGTAAGCGATTCGTAGATTCCAAAATCCGCCACGTTCCTAGTACATGAACCCTCCCTGTAGCCCTGCTAGCGGAGTCGGCGATGGCACAGTACATGCAGTCCCACTGCATTAGACAACCAAAGCCACCGCGGAAACCCGAACTTGACCATCTACATCGCGTTCTCCAGATGAAGAATGCCCCCTCACACGAGTCAGAGTATATCCTGGATATCCACTATCACACGATCACCAGGCACTCAACCAGATAACTCATCTTCATCCCATCTATCCTTTCCCTCGTCCTAACAGACGACATCTTTGGACAACTATCCTCGAAGCGAATTATTCATAACCGCGCCCAAACTCTGTACTCAGCTGAGGTATCAACAAGTGTTCAACGGTTGCAAACTTCCTAGAAGCCTCCCTCCCTCTCCATGAGTAGTTTACTCTAGCTTTCTGCTTATTTCTTTCTGCCTCAGAAGCTCTTGCGGATCAGTGACGTTACTAACACGGTATTCAAGCCCACATCGAAATGTAGCCCAGTCGTCTCAGATTCTCTATTGAGCCACCTGATGATGGATCTGCAGACATATACCCATCCTAACTGCTGTCAATTCATGAGGAATACCCCATCTCCATAGTACGAAGCTTTACATCCTGGGCCTTAATACAGCGACCACGAGATCGATTGTTGATGGCTGCACTCTTCTCGCTTCTCTTACGAGGAAGGACGATGTGGGGACAATGATGACTTGGGCCCTTGATTCGAGGAGAGGCGTGACCATGAAGCAATATTTCGCATCGCAAGAGTCGTTCCTACTGACCAGACTGCAAGAAGCCAGGGTAAAAACTGATCATGAAAACCAGTCGCCCTTTTAGCCCGCGTACCTAGTCTCCCGATATTCCCAAAATCATACTTAAGAGACATCCCAGTCGCAGAGGTGGATTGGGGAGACCGTGAAAATATCAGTGAATCTCACTGCACCGCTAACTGTAGCTGGTGGTGTGTGTTGTCTTGGCCGAACGTTTTGAGGATCATCTCATGTAAGGTTTTCCGAGGGCGATCGCCGCAGTTGTCTCTCGACTATGCTGGTATTGGAAAGCCCTGGCAAGCAGCTCTCAGCCCAGGTTGAATTCGAGTGAGACCCGCCGTCCGAAATTGACGAGGCAAACACGCTCCGCCGGAGGTATCAGCTCCTCGCGTCCAAGCCCGGTATCTTGGTGGTGCTTCTACCATCGGGTGAGAGATACGAAACTGGGTGTTAGGTAGAGAGCCATATGAACACCCGTAGAGAGATAGCTGAGCTTGAGGGAGGAGCGTCTGTGGCATGTTTGTTTACTGGCAAAGAAGAAAGGACATAGCTGGAGCAGTCATTACTCCGATAACGGGGTATTGAGGTAGGTTCATACCTACATCCGTAGCTATCAGATGGCTAGGTGACATGACAAGGACCTGTTTTTGTCAGGTATGAGCTTCTTCAAATTTATCATTCTAGTCCACCATCTTCGATGGCAGCTTTACACATGTACGCCCAAGATGGAGCCACCTGGATCATCATACTTTCGTTCTTTGTGGAAGCGTCAGCTCTGATATTCTAGTACAGATTGAAAGACGGAGCCGGATTCTCGTTGCCAAGCAGCAGATCCTGTGATCGCGTCGTTGCAAGGGTGAAAAGCAAGAAAGCATGAGTCTTGCTTGAGAACTTTCTGATCTGATCTTGTCAAAGGGTGCTACAGAGGCGTTTGCCCCAGGGCCGTGATACGGGTGTTGCAGCAGGGCCTGGCACTAGATGTACACAAATTGAGATCTAGGTTTAACTTACTGCACATTAGGCGCTTTGTCACCCAGCCTGATTGCTGCCTCCTGTTTTAGTCATGTTATGGGCCTTCTCTCATTGAACCACTGCGAACCGTCCCCCAGAATCATGTACTTCTTCGTACCTAACTTGCTGTACATACCTAGTTCGCATCAGCTCATCGCGCTAGTGTTTGACCGTGTAGGGGTTGGGGCACGCTATAAGTGATAGAACTGACCGCAGGCGCTTAAGTTCGGCCATTAAGATTTACAGAGTACAGTACAGTGCGCTTGTATGTACTGTACCCCGCCGACTCTACGTAGTGTAGTAACGCTTGAGACCGGAAGACGCGCAGTGATCCTTACTTCTCCTTATGGGCCAATCACGGCCCCATTGAGACGCCCGAGGTGACCTGTGGCATGCCATTCCCTAGACATAAAGCGAATCGCGCAGTGGTGTCTTTAGTGAGTTTCTGTCTACGTTATAGCATTGTTGCTCAACTCCTGTGCGTTGATGGCAGGGGCTTGCGTCCCATAGTCTGGCAATCGCCCAGCAGCAAATGCAGCGTTCCCAGCTATGTATTCGTAGGTTGCTAGTTCTAGACCGGTTCCTACGCAGGGATTCATCTCATCTAGGCGCGTGGACGACTGTTCTCCGGCCGCTCATGAGAGGTCAGAGATAGTACCTCTGAGCCGATTCGGCCTACTTAAGCCAGGCGATTGACCATGAGAACCCCCCATCCTTTGACCCATCTACATCGATAAGCGACACGAAACCCAAGTCATCTTTGCAAGCCCTCGAATAACCGCCGCCATACGCAAGCCGCAGCCACCATTCACAAGGCTTCTCTCCTCCTGTGGGTAACCATACCTTCGAGCTCGTAAACGCAAATAGGTTGGATGGGTGTGCATTGAACTCGATGTATCTAGTTGCCTATTATTATTCATAAAGGAGCCATGTTTTCTCTACTTCTTCTCATCAAGTAACATGCGGCCGGACCACGCAAGAGCAGAGGTTCATAGGTCAACTAACTCGTCAATGCTGTAATGAGAGACGAAAGTGCCCTCACTTGCCTGCAGCATCTTTTGCTCAACGATGGTGTCGATGTTCGCCCGCTCTTCCTCACTGAGCAGACCCAGTCTATCTTCGACTGCTGTAAATGGGCCATAGAACCTTGGATCGATGAACTTCCAATATATCTCATCAAACATGGAACTGTGGCGTGAAGCAAGACAAATCCAGAACAATCCAGTCTCCATCGATTTCTCCATAGCGATGGACAGCTGCTGTGAATGTGACAAGGAACCGTCCTGGATCTTTTTGGCCTCGCACTCTTTGAGGACCTCGAGAAATGTGTTAAATCTCGGCATAAACGCACCAGAAATTCATCCAGATCAGTTTCCCAGTCTTCCGGCTTCTCCAGTAAGAGCCACCAAGGCGCCGCATATGTGAATTCGGCAGGGGCAGCATAAGTGAACTCCCAATCGATGACTCCCGTGACAGCCAGTCTTGATGCATCAACAAGAACATTGTCAGGACGGAGGTCATCGCAATATAGCCTGAAAGGACCTTTGCAGTGTTCCTTCGAGATATCACGCGACAACTTGCGGAACAGACAACGCGCAATGTACTTCTTCCGGCAGTCAGCTTCATCAGTTACCGCGTCATTGCGCTGTAGCTCCAAATGGTGGAAATGGTGACGCGCAAGCTCCTCAAAATAATCTGCTGCATTGTCAAAGTGTTGCTGCCCAAATATACTGTGCGGAATATTGGAGGTCTGAGAAAGGCGATTCATGTTGAAGGTGAATGGTCGTTGCTGCACCGTCCACTCGCCAGTCTCGTCCAGTCGAACAGCTCCAATGAAGGGGAACTCGGGCTTTGACAGCTCCAGCAATATTTCAGCCATGCCCATATAAGCTCTTCGCAACACAGACATGTTGATATTCGAACGCAGTGTGACTATCTCCTGAGACGGTTGTCTAAGATAACCCACTTAACTGCTTGCCCTCAACGTAGTCCATCACGATGTATGGGCCAACCACACACTTTCCAGATCCCAAGACCTTTGGGACAGGGACCCTTGTATGTTGGGCAACATATTGCATGATAGCGACTTCATCTTCGACCTTTTCAGTACGAGCGACGACCCGACCAAGTGCAGTAAACCGGACCTCGACACGATGACCGTCATCGTAGGTAACGCGGTAACAGATATTGAAAGCGCCATTGGCAAGCGGCGCGGCTTTTACAGGTGTGCCAGCACGATGGCGGGAAGCTACCTTCCCCGCCAGCTCCTCGGGTGAGTTCCTCAGTAGATTCTGAAGCCACACTTGAAAGATCAGATTCGATTTCTCTTCCGCGAGGTGATCGAAGTCCATTTTTGCATGTGCTATCAGGTTGATTCAGCGAAGGAGGAGGTAGGGAGTTTGGGGAAGAGGGGTGGACAGATCAAGGAGAGAGACGCTGACCGGAAAAATTGTCTGGGCCGACGGGACGGGGTGGTCTACAGAATGTTTAGGCCAATCTTCGCCTCCTATTAAGCGCCTGTATGATTGATTTGACTTGGCCTGTTATGAGCTAGTGTAACACACATCACATTATTGCACATGTTGCTGCATTTCCCTACTGTCTGTATTACTTTTTTTTATTTCTTTACTTTCCCTGTCATGACAACTGGTTATCCGTCAATTTGCCTGTTTACTTAGTTATCTAGCTCTGATCCTGCCATCCTTACTAATTCTTTCCTCCCATAACAGAGGCGAAGCTAGAGTCGAAAACTCATGAGGCTCTTCCTAGCTAGGTGTACTACCAGGAGGTAGGTATTTATCAAAGATCAGAATGTAGTGACACAGCATGCGACCCAATGATTCGCTCCTAACCTGGACAATATCGTCAATCGGTGCTACTATCACGTCAGTCGATTTCAAGCGGGGTAAGACAGCCTCCAAACAACACTTGCTGCCAGAACCACCAGTGTCTTTGCATTTCAAGCCTTGCGACATGCTGTGCCAGCTAACCGGATCATAATTTCGTATACGTTCATTGAGCACACACACGACATGGTCATCCCAGCACCTATCGAAAATAAGACAGCTCACGGCGATGTTTCAACCGAGCCGCTAGAGGCATACGTCCATCCACCGGAGACAACGCAACCGCGTAAGTACTCTTCCGACTGACCATACGGAGGCAGAGCACACTGACAAGCGAGCCAGTCGACTATGCAGACCTCGTCACACTTGATCTCTCTCTCTTCGACAACCCAGAAGGCAAAGCCAGACTAGTGAAACAATTGAAGCAAGCCGCGCATGAGGTTGGTAGGTTTCTCCTCTTCCAAAATGCATAAGATGGCTCCGGCCCAGGAAAGAGACCAAGCTAAGAAAGAGGATAGGGTTCTTCTACATCACCAACTTCGGTCTCACCCAAGATCAGATTGACCGACAGTATGCCATCGGGCAAGAGTTCTACGCGTTGCCCTTCGAAGAACGATTGAAGTATCGCGCTCCGCTTGAAGAAGGGAACTACAATGGCTACCGCCCGCTCGGGAGCGTCGAGCTCGCCCCGGGCCTGCCAGACAAGGTGGAGATGTACAACCTGTTCAAGTTCATCCCACAGACGCAGCGCACCCAGCCGGACGTGATTCACCGGCACTGGAAGGAGATCGAGCAGGTTCATCGCCATATCCATGAGGAAGTAGCGCACAAGATCCTCCGGCTCCTCGCAATTGTGCTGGAACTACCGGACGAAGAGGCCTTGGTCAGAGGCCATCGCTATGAGGCGAATTGCGACAGCGCGCTCCGCTATATGATGTCGAGGGCCAGGTCGGCGGAGGAGAATGAGCGGTGCAATCATATTTACACACGGGGCCATACAGATTTCGGAACACTGACGTTTGTCTTTCAGCAGCCAGTGGCAGCGTTGCAAGTCAAACGGTCGGCGGAGGCAGAGTGGCAGTGGCTGAGGATTCCCGAAGGCCATGCGGCGGTCAACATTGCCGATATTGTAGAGTTCCTATCAAATGGGTACTTGAAGAGTGGGGTCCATCGTGTCGTGTCTCCGCCAGAGGATCAAGTCGGGCTGGATCGTTTAGGACTGCTGTATTTTGTAAGACCGTCAGATGAGATGAATCTTGGGGCCATCGATAGTCCGCTGCTCAGGCGAATGGGGTATTACTCGCACGGAAGGCAGGATGAGAAGGAGGTAGCTATCCCTGCCACCGAATGGGTAAGGGCAAGGGTCAGGAAAAATTGGGTGAAGGCTGAGTCGAAAGAGGTTCTCTCGTTGGGTCGGTTTCAGACGCAGGTAGTGTACGATTAAGTCTCTTGCACTCGACTGTGTTAGGGTACGGTCTCAATGAAAGGAGGATCGCTCTGTATCCGAAAGTTATGACCAGCCTGAGCTTCTAGCTATGGGCTACACTGAGAGCGAAGCGCGGGGTAATATCAGCTCAGACCTTCCTCGTCAGCAGCTCGCGCCACGTGCCAAATCCGGGGTAGCAGCCATTAGTGGGGCGTGCGGGGGGCTTTAGCGTTAGAACACGAGAGACTGGCTGACAGCAAGCAGAGATACGACTCTACACAATGGTGCTCCACGGTAGACAAGCATTGCTACACTTCGAACCAAACCATGGGACATCATGCATGTCCCGGTCACAAGTGTGACATCCACAGTGAGCTGAGGACTCTGCAAGCATAATGGATGATGATAGCTCATGAACCAGTGCGCTCATGGATTCGAGGGTTAGAATGCCGAGGATGTCACCATTCCCTCGTAGTCTGACCGCGGAAATCGGTTTTGTTCATAAGATATAGGGTTGAATCGCGATTCGAGTGTGCCAGGAATACCATCGGTGGGCGCGCACATTCTTCACGCTGGCGGTTGATGAGTCTTTCCACGCTGCGGTATTCGCTGCCTGATTTCCCAGGCCAATACATTCCAATGGTATCTCGCGTCCAATTGGAATCATTTTCGAGCCAACGCGGTAACATTGTGCTATTCGATCAGTAGCGAGATGTACCGGAAGAAGTGAAGTTGGAGTCCACGATGTTTCTTATCTAAATCTTGCTGGCGACTGGCCATCTCACGGAATGCTCGACGATCTCATCGGCCCGATAGCGAAGAGTATACATGAGAACTCATTGCCAGTCTGGGACAGCTGTAATGCAAGTTGATTCTCCACAACCTGTTTGTTGACAATAGAAGTTGAGCGGCATCGCTGCGCCATGAGTCGTCTAGTGAACTGGTTGCCGACAGTGGCAGCATTTATCGCCTTCATACTGACACTAATATGCCTCTTCGCGGGGTCACAAACGAGTGTACTGCCCGACACCTCAATCCTAACAGTGAGTAAACCTGCCCTCATCGCCAAAGTGACACCAGATGAGCTCAAAGTTGAGACAAGCCTCTGACATCTACGACAGATCTATACCTCAAACATCAGCCAAAGCACGGAGATCGCTGGTTTCTACTCCATCCATGTCATGTCATACTGCGAGGGAGAACTGCGGGTGAATCACAAGGACTTTAACAACTGCTCCGATCGAACGTTGTTCTTTTCGTTTGACCCTGATGCTGCGATCCGGGCCGACACCGGGAATACTACCACCCCGGCGGACTTGGGGTGGCCTAGCGCGATCACCGACGACTTTTACGCCTTCCAGATGACATCGCGCAGTATGGGAATATTTTATTGTTTGGGAGCCGGAGTGGCCGCCCTGGCGCTGTTTGAAAGGGCATGGTGGGCGCTCAGACGCGGTCCGCGACAGACGGTAACGGAAGTGTCGTCCATGATGGTATGATCCCGCCCGTCTTGCGATGTGTGGCCTCTCAACGGATGAACTGACCCGTGCGCAGTTGAGTTTCGTGATGCTTGGGATCTCGTCCATCATTGCGACCGTGATTGCATTCCAGTTTGTCAACCTGGTCAGCTACCATGGGCAGGACGCTGGAGTAACAGCGGAGTACGGGCCGCAATTCCTGAGTCTCACTTGGGCAGCAACAGGGCTGTATCTGATTGGGGGCACGACAGGGTTAGTGATGGTGTTGATCGATCGCAGTCGACCTCCAGTGGACTATGTTCCTGATGACGAGGATGGATTTGACGAAGGCCCTGACGATCTGCTGGAAGACCATGCCAAATCGGAAGTCCACAGTCACCACAGTGACGACTCGGTAACATTGCGTTCACACGAATAGCACGGGGCTACCAGGTACGGAGTAAGGAGCAACGCGGGAATATCCAACGGGACTGTAAAACGAATCGGAAGAGAGAGAAGAGAAGAAGGCGACAAGGGGGGCCGATCGGCCGGATGGAAATGGGTGGAAAGTGAGGGAAAAACTCGATTGGGCCGGGCGGGAAACGGCGATGAAGCCATTGGTGTGTAACTGCAAATAACTCTCTAGTAATTAGTCCCATTGTATTATTACTACTTACTGTACTGTACTGAACATTGAACTTGCATTTGGTGTGCCTTTTCCTTTCTATTCTCATGTATGAAGCGAGAAATCGAGAAGGATCGAGAAAGCTGGGGGAGACAATAAGTGTATAAAGACCCACATGGATTGTCTTCGAGTTTTGGAAGATGGAATTGGACCGAGTCGATGAGGGCCGAATTCAACATGGAGCCAGCAATTGGAAAGACGAGGTGGAGGAGAGAATAACGTCACTAGGTGGGTGGGGGAGACCGAGAAGACCGAGACTACGACGTAAGTGTAAAGGAAGTTGTGTAGTGTGTGTGTAGTTCTCAGCCAGACTGACACCGGCAGCGGTGGGTCTTTCCTCCTCGTTTTCCCCAGCGGCATGACGATGTGATGTTTGATCGAACGACTAACTACCGCCCAACTGTCTGATGATGATGATGACATTCCACTCCTCCCTCTCACCACTAGTCAAAAATCATCCTCATCATTCCATGAACATACGAGTAGGCCGTACTCGGGAAGAAATCTTCGTACCCCTCGTGTCCTTTGAATCCTCAAGCCGAGTTGTGCCAAGGGAAGACATTCCTATCCGGGCCGATGTAGTCCGCAAACCCGGGGAAGTGCAGAATGACCAGGGTAGGGTAGTAGTGGTAGTGTAGTACTAGCCTCCTAGGAGTCTAATATAGACCAGTCGTAGGAGACGGAGTGCTTTCAAGATCACTATCAACCTGACTGGTCGGGAGGGATCGGGAGACCGGCCGTGGCTGATTGGGGTTGAATACCTCCTTAAGGATGATTATGGAAGCATACCACCAGACAGAGTCAGAAGGATAGGTACATCCACCCTGCTAGCTGCAATCATGCAAGTGCATTGGCATCCATGATCATCATACATGTGTAGTAAGTAGTTTAGGTAGAATATCCTGTTTAGGATCACCGCACGGTTGACGGTATGGTTGTTCGTTTGGTGTAGGGGTCGGTCCCCTCACGTCATCCTCGGATTGGTGAGTCTTGTTTGAGAGAGTTGAGGTCATTGTCCTGCTCCACCGACCAATGATCTATGCAATCCGGCTGCCAATTCCATGTCCCGCACGTACCGCGACTGAGCCTTCTCTATGGTTCTATCGTGCCTGCCTACTTGCCTGCTTGCCTGCTTGCCTGCTTCACCAGTACCGTACCCCAGTATGTGATGCTGCGCCCCTCTCTTTTCCCCTCCCCTCCTTCCCCTCTTCGGTTTGCTCCTCCCTCCTTTGCGGCTTCATATAATACCCCTCTAATCCCCCCTCCTCAATCCTTTTGTTCTATTCCCTTTTCATTCATCATCAACATCAACCACTCTCACATCAATCATCCTCTACCTCCCGCATTCTCTCTTCCTATCAGAAGACCCCTCTCACCAAGACTACTACCTAGTACTTCCCCACTCTACATCTCTTGACTACTACCAATCATCCTCTACCCCTTATACCTCATCAAAACACTTCATCATGGCTAAGAAGGCTATCCAATTCGGTGGTGGTAACATCGGTCGTGGCTTCGTTGCCGAGTTCCTCCATGAGGCTGGCTACGAGGTCGTCTTCGTTGATGTGATGGACCAAACCGTCAACGCCCTTCAGAACGCAGACTCGTACGAGGTCACCGAGGTTAGCGAGGAAGGTGAGAAGACCAAGACCATCACCAACTTCCGCGCCATCAACTCCAAGACCCACGAGAGCGATGTCATCCAAGAGATCGCCACTGCCGATGTGGTCACTTGCGCCGTCGGTCCCAACATTCTTAAGTTCATTGCCCCTGTGATTGCCAAGGGTATCGATGCGCGCACAATGGAGAAGCCCGTGGCTGTCATCGCCTGCGAGAACGCCATTGGTGCTACTGATACACTCCATGGTTTCATCAAGCAACACACCGCCGAAGATCGCGTCGAGACTCTGTATAACCGTGCCCAGTTCGCCAACTCGGCCATCGACCGTATTGTCCCCAACCAGCCTCCCAACGCCGGTCTCAACGTCCGCATCGAGAAGTTCTACGAATGGGTTGTCGAGAAGACTCCCTTTGGCGATGTCGGCCACCCAGATATCCCTGCCATTCATTGGGTTGACCACCTCGAGCCCTACATCGAACGCAAGCTGTTCACCGTCAACACTGGCCATGCTACCACAGCCTACTTTGGTCACATCCGCGGCAAGCGCATGATCGCCGAGGCATTGGCTGACCCGGAGATCAAGGAGATGGTGCACAAGGTCCTTGGCGAGACTGCCTCCCTCATTACCGACAAGCACGAGATATCAGACGAGGAGCAGAAGGAGTACGTTGACAAGATCATCCAGCGTATCTCCAACCCCTACTTGGAGGACAACGTTGATCGTGTGGGACGCGCTCCACTGCGCAAGCTCTCCCGCAAGGAGCGGTTCATCGGACCTGCTGCCCAGCTCGCCGAGCGCGGTCAGAAGTACGATGCCTTGATGGATGCGGTCGAGATGGCTCTGCGCTTCCAGAACGTGCCTGGTGACCAAGAGAGTGCCGAACTCGCCGACATCCTCAAGGAACAGTCCCCTGAGTCGGCCACCAGCCATCTAACCGGCCTGGAGGAGAAGCACCCTCTGTACCCCGCGGTCCTCGAACGGGTGCGCAAGGTGCAGGGAGTCAAGGTCTAGGCGGATCGAGTCTCCGACGGTTATCTCGCCGAAAATGAGGTACTTTGTTATGTTTTACGATGTTCACGAAGATCATTGCGAGTTCAGCAATTCCGAGTTGATCACGGATCTGGCATCTGGAAGCATGTACAACCGGTTCAGCCGCGGGACGGCGAAGAACCGTGCGGGATATGGCGAACAAATGGTCGGCGCGAACGGAGCATGGGATACCAGCATAGGTTTTGCGTGTTTTCTTTTTTTACTTGTGATACTTCATGTACTTACCGAGCAATCAGCATTTCATATACCAAATGCATGAACAAGCTATGAACTTTTTTGCGTCTCGTAGTTTGCAGATGTCTCGTGTAGTAACTACAACTTACTATCCACCCACTTGGGATGTCTCTTCTCCACAAAGGCCCTCAGCCCCTCTTTGATATTCTCCCCGGCGTTCAATTTCTCCATCCACTCCTCCATCAGCTTGACCGTCGCCTCATCGGCGCCCTCCCGCTCCCACCCCCGATTCACGCCTGCGCGACTCACCACCACGGCATCGGGACTATTGGCCGCGATGCGCCCCGCGACCTCCAGGGCGCGGTGCACGACATCCCGCTCGGGCTCCCCCTCAGCATCGATCGGCACGACCTCGTTCACGAACCCCCACCGCAGCGCCTCGGCGGCGCTCACCTTCCGGCCCGTGAGCACCATCTCCATCGCGCGCTGGCGGCCCACCGTCCGCACCAGCCGCGGCAGCGCCCCGGCCCACGCCACCACCCCGCGCGCCACCTCCGGGAACCCAAAGTAGGCCCGCTCCGATGCGATCACCAGGTCCGCGTTCACGGCCATCTCGCACCCGCCCCCGAGGCAGAGCCCGTTCACCGCCAGGATGATGGGCTTCTTGCCCGTGCGCCGCGAGAGGCCCCCGAAGCCGGTGGCGGGGGCTATGGGGTTGGACTTTTGGGTTGGTGTGGTGGTGGTGGTGGTTGAGAGCCATTCTTTGGAGGTTAGTTTGATTTCATGTTGGATTTTGAGGGATTGAGGGGGTTAGGGAGGGTTAAAGGGTTCCGGGGGTGGGGGGATTGAAGGAGAACTTGGGGAGAAGGGCGACTCGACTCACCTTTCAAATCGGCGCCAGCGCAAAACGCCTTCCCGCTGCCGGTGAGCACGCCCACCCGTAAGGCTGGGTTGGCGTCCATCCAGCGCCAGATGGCGTCGAGTTCGGCGTGGCCTTGCGTGTTGATGCAGTTGAGGTCGCGGGGTCGGTTGAGGGTGACGAGGAGGATGTGGGGGAGGGGGAAGGAGAGGGAGGCGTATTTAGCTGTTGGGGTGGTCATTTTCTTTGGGTGTTGGTTGGGGGTGGGGATTGGGATTGGGATTGAGATCTTGTCTTGATTTGATTGTGTGGAGGAGGGGAGGACTGAGATTGGGATTGGTTTGATGTTGGTGTTGGTGGTGGTTGTTGTTGTTGTTGTTGTTGTTGTTGTTGTTGTTCTAGGCTATGTAGTATTTATGGGGAAGCTTTCGGGAAGGGGATGTTGGAGACTCTGCCCTGGTGGAGTACGTACGGCAAGGTGGAGTTGCCGAGGTTCGACCTAGCTTACTTTTCACTCTCTGGGCTATGCTCGGTTTGTAGATTGAGGCCTCAAGCACTTATCATTATACGCAATTTACAGCGTGTTATGACTTGAAGAGTATTAAGCAGAGCGTTTGAAACAAAAACTCCAACAGATCTACTACACCATACACTGGTCAGATCAAGCTATGCATCATTCATATCGGTCAATACAACTCAAATCACATCAACATTCATCCTGCCCTTCCGAACGCCGCCCAACTCCGTTACAAAACACACACACACACACACACATCGGGTATTCGTGTAGCAAATCACCCCTTGTTGATCCAGCCACTGTGCACCATAAAGTCATAGATCCGACTGGTCTTGGCACTGTCGATCTACGGAGTTGTCAGTACATTGTCGATGGCCAGAACGGCAGAGCATTTACCTTGCAAATGGTCCGTGCATCCTTCTTCTTCAAACTGCCCCCCTGCTTCATCGACTCTTTCAGCAGTGTCTCCTTGATGACCAAATATGGCTTTGGTTGAATATGAAGCACATTGCACACCTCTACCTCCTCCTTTGTCAGCAAATGCAGATCCGGAGCAGCTTCGTTCTCCAGCTTCCACGGAATCACCCCGTTCAGCGGCTGCACAATGAACTTCGTCTTCGCCGGCGGCGTCGGCGTGCTGATCCCGTCCCCGTTGGAGGCGAACATCCGATCAAAGTCGTTCATTGGCTGACTGGGAGGTTCGGGAGCTTTGGGGGCACCAGGGGTGCCTGAGGCTTTCTGCAGCCGCAGTGGCAGCTCTGGCGTGGTCAACTGACTAGCCGCCGACGGCTGTTCGGGCTGCTGTTGCTGCTTCGGCCGTGTGCTTGCGAATCGGTCAAATGAGCCCTGCGGCGCCATCCTCTGGGCGCGCTGTTGCTTCTCCTGCTCGTATTTCTCGCCACCTTTCAGATCTCCGATCCCCATCTGCCGCCATTCCTGTAGCTGCGCGATGGCCAGACGCAGGTTGTGCTCGTACTCCAGTCCCTTGTTGAACTCTTCAAAGTCATCGTGGTTCATCATCCGGGCAAACGGTTTTGCCTTGTTGAGCAGATCCCGTTCCTCTTTCGTGCGCTTCTTCTCTAGCGCCGTGTTCTTCCGATACTCGAGCAGGTTGTGCTCAAAGAGGACCTTCTTGCGCTCCGTGCGCGCCGTCAAGCGCGAGTTGTAAATGTCCACCACCGTCATCTTCAACTCCATCTCCGCATCCAGCTCACCGTTCGCGGTCTCGCCCGCACCAGGCTCAAAGGTCATATGCTGCACCGCCTCTTCCGCATCGTTCATAAATTCGGTCTCGAACTCCAACCGACCCGGCATGTAACCCTGCACTTCGTGACACGCTGGAACACTAGCAGTGGGCTTCTGCTTGGGCGTGGTCGGGGGAGCGGCCTTAGCGGCCTCTTTGCGTTCCTCGATGCGTCGCTTCTTTCGCGACTGGAACTCTTCCTTGGATATGGAGTCGGACAGGCGGGTGTCGTCAGGATCGGCGCGCTCTGGAAGCGGGAAATTGGGG